TTCTGCACTAGGCGGAGTGGACAGAGCAATCGTTCGCCCCCCGCTTCCCCCACGCACACACGACATCCCCGCCCATCCCCAGCTGAGCAACATCCTCCACACAACACGCAACGGAGACCTCCAACGCCAGCTGCCGCAGCATCATCACCGCGCCATCCAGCTCCGATCGCTCCGACTGTTGTAGAGACGAACAACTATTATGTCGTTATAGAGGGTGAACACCCTGGTGTATATTTTGGCAGGTATGTGCTGGAATTAAATGTCCTTGGAACCTTCACTGACAATCGGAAATAGAACTGCTGCCCTTGAGGCAGTCGGCAATAGGGCTGGCAAGAGGCTCCTTGTCACAACTCGTGAAGGGGCTAACGCGCTCTTTGTTGATCTTTACATGGCCGAAAAAATAAAGAGGCTTCGGTAGCTCAAACGATCGATTTAGCAGTTGAGCAATGTAATTTTGTAACTTGGCCCTAGGAATATTTATAGGCTTGTGTGCACGCCAACAAACCAAGGTCAAGTGGTACGGATTGCTAGCCCATGGTATCGTCAGGCTGACCAAAAATCCTGACACTGAGGATAAATACCAACAAGAATTTGTGGAAGATGCAGATGGATAGCTGGGTACTGACTGCGAAGGCAGGGTGCTGAGTCCTGGCTGGGAAGAATCATGTTCAGAAGAATCCGAGACAAGAGAACAGCAAATGTTGGTGTAAAAGTGCCTCTTTCTGAGAGATATGTTGTCCGTTGATTCCAAGGCTCCAAGCTGTGTTTGGAAGAATCCAAGACACAACCAAGAAGACCGAGTGGGAGAGGGACCTAGATCTGTTCTACTCGTAAGCACTCAGTTTGCATAACGGAAGAAAAACTCATTGTTAGTTTAGTACGTTGACTTGGCAAGGGATAGGGCCATAACTGTAGAGCATGTATTGCCCAGACAGTGCACCAAAGAGAGGTTTCACATTCGCATTGTTTGTTCCGATGCGGAGCCATACATGTGCAAATAGCCTGTCCTCGGATCACTAGTAAGTTCAACTCAAGTTCAACAGTGCAACTTGACTTCCAACGATCACCCTACGTGCGTTTGTGTCTTGGATCCTTCCAAACACAGTTCCCTCCCATATGAACTACTTCGTTGTCTCGATCCTTAACTCCTGCGTGTTTTTGTGTCTTGGATCCTTCCAAACACAACAAACGAGTGGGTTAGAGTCCCACCGAGAACAGTTGGCGTTGCCTGCCATGATGACTTCTATGGAAAGGTACTATTTGAATATTGTGTCCAAATACCTTGTCTGACCTTTAAACAGAAACTTAGATCGCTCGCAGGGGAGGGTGTATATTCTTAACGGAAGGGTTTTTTATTCACCAAATTGCTCTCACAACATTTCTCTTCCACCAATGGAGCACGAGACAGCAAAATCTTATTTTGAAAACATCTTCATCCCACAGAAGAGGGCTGAGAATGATCCTAGCAAGTATGATATATCATCCCTGAATGCTCAAGACTACCAGTCCCCGAGATGGTGGAGTTTGCGATGGGGATGGACAGCCTTCATTCCCAGATCTCCGCCTTTCTTTGGGCCGCTTTTTGGATTCCTTGCACACACACCTCATGTTTACCCCATGAAAGAGCCTGAAGAAGGCTACAAGCTGCCTGTGTGGGTCATTGAAGAAATGGAGAGGTTGGAGGAAGATTTAGCTCGTGCTATTTGCTACCTGTGTGCTCAACTCAGGATGGCCATCATCAAGCCCGTACTACCGTTTGCCTTTGGGTACAAGAAGCTTCACAAAACTGCCACTGCTGCTCTGCATTTATTCGAAAAGGCACATGACTGGTACATCATCTGGATGGGCATGTTTTCGTATGCTGTGGCCAGTGCTCAGACGGAAGAGAATAGGTGGAAGGAGTACCCCCACCTTGCAATTTTAGAGTGGACAAAACTTCTGTTTGAATGGAAATGTAACCCGGTCTGGCTGGACGCTGTTAGATCCTCGTGCATCTGTGACTTCTCGCCTTTCACATGCGGACTGGGGTTTTCCTACATTTGACTCCAATACATGGTGCTCAGCCCTCTGTGGAATGGTGGTGTCATTTTGGTATTCCGGTCTGGTATCCTTGGGAGGAGGATTACCCCAAGAGCCAGCATTTGTCATTGTATAGCCCCTTACCACACCAGATGCAGGAAGCAGCAACTTTCCTTGTTGTTCAGCCAACAATGGAACCTACCGCGATCTCGGAAGAAGTGGATGACAATCTGAATATCGAGTCACTCCAGCATACTGATCAGATGGCCGTAATATCATCGGCTGATGCCAGTGTTGAAAGGACTGTTGCTGCTGCCTCATCTTTCATCATCGCTGATCCAGGATCTTCTGAGCCACGGACGTCAGAATATGTCACCTGGCAGGAATTTTTTCAATGCCGTGAGAAGGCCAACGAGGGCATTATGGAGAATGAAACTGCTGATGACAAGCAGAGGAGGCTCAACCGAGAGCAGCGTCCTCCTACCCGTAAGGTGAAGGTGTTCGAATGGACTTACGATATCAACAGTCGACTTGTGCGCGAAGCTGTTCTAGGCAGGGACAAGATCGAGATTCTTCACAACTATTCTTCAGCCCAGATTCGATATGACTCTTTCCGAAACGAGTATGATGTTTGCGAGGAATTTGGGCCTGGGCGAGAGTACGACTCAGATGACGACGGATCTGATTACCCTGGTACCTATGAAATCACAGAGGAACAACTGAACGCTGCTGTCGCTTTGGACATGGCTCAAATTCCTGACTCCAACCCTCGGTTGCCACGTGTTGAGCACCAAGATCATGAAAGCCATGTCTCTGATTGGACCCTTGCAGCTCAGGAACTGTCCAAGTTAGTTAACTTGGAGCAAGGACATGATATTTTTGAGGAGGAAATTCTGGAAACAGTCTGAGTGTGGTTTGGCTTCATCCTCCCGGACACCGGTACCCTCTCTTCGATCAAATCCTTGTCAGCAGAGAATGACCAGAAGAATTTCCTGAAGCTCCTAGGTTTTCCTTGGACAGCAGCCTCGAAAGAGACCCTTTTCCGCCCATCCATTGCGGCAGCTGCCAGGTTCTTGAAAAATCTTATCTCAAAAGAGAAAATCCAGGATGTTGAATGGGACCTTGGAACCGGCCATCATCGTTCTCTATCTATCAATTGACGTTTCGCCTGCATCAGGGTGGTGCATCCAGACGGGGACAAGTCGAAGTCACTCTATTTGTTTGACTTCGGAGCTAGAGCAACTGAGCCATGGAAAATTTGCATGATGTCGGTGTCCCATGCCTTGATGCTTTGTCGTTTGGATCCGCAATGGAAGGAGTATGAGCTTGCACATTACCTTGTTCAGAATGGAATCCCATTCCGAACTTTGCAGCTTTCATCAACAGTCCGTCGAGCCCCTATCGTGTCCAAGCTGCAACAAAAGCACCCTTTTCGCCCTCCATCATACACTTTCACGATCGACGATTATCATGCATACCTGGACAGATGTGGAGAACTCCTCAAATCTCTCCGTGGAAGGGCGGCCTTGCTGACAGGAGGATATATATGGAGAATTGCAATATCCAGCGTCAGCTTGGACTCTGTGATGTTGGGTCCAACAGGTTGGTCAACAAAGCCAGAGGAGATGTTGGTTGTCCGGGAACCTTCTACTGGCAAAGAATACATCGATGATCAACTCACCAAACACAAGCTTGAAATCTTGTCAGGCCTCAACATTTGCATGACGGGTAAGGCCAATTCAATGAGTGTGATGAGCCACTAAAAGAATATTCTTACAGGTAATGGTGACCAAATTGCAAAAAAATCATGGCACCCACGTTTTAAGACATATGAGCACTCTGGATTGGATTTTGGACATTGGACACCTTTCGCTGAAATTGGTTTCAACTCAAAGTCTGAGAAATGCAATGATCCCAAGAAGCCTCGCGTTCTTGGACGCCAACCTGTGGCAACCTCACAATGGCGAGACAACAACAGAGGTTCTGGAGATCTTAGAAGAGTGAATCTCAGCATAGAGAAGGCATCAATCGAGCTAATCGACCAAAAGGTGTTGTGAAATAAGGTTTGCTGCACAGATGAATGTGACAAGCTAGACGAAGATGTGCATGAGTCCCCCTCATCCTTCGCTGATCTCTATCCTTGTACAAATTCATTTTCACAAGTTGGGCAATCATTTTCGTTCGAGGGAAGGTTTCACAGAGCGGCCATGCATTTGTATTCTACCATATCTCCTGCGACAAATTTTTTTTTTGATCAGATGGCATTTTTTGTGCGATGTTCAACATGTTTTTCCAGCACCTCCCAACTGAAAAGGGAAGATATATAGGTATGTACAGGGAGCAGTGAGAGCCACTCTTGTCGTACTGGATGAAGATGCCTCATGGGCTTGTCTCTGATTTTCTCCACTGAGGTGCCATGAGCTAATGTCAATGAGAAGGTCAAAGGAAAGTATGGGTTCGAGTGGTGAGTATGTCCTCTGTTCAATCCTAATCTTGACAACTTAAACAACGGCCTTCTAGATTTCCTGTCCATCTCTCTCAAGTGCCCATCTCAGCCCCCTCGATAGAATTCCGTGCAAGAGCCGCCCACACCGGGCATCACTCAAGGACCAGCTGGATGTTGCCCACTCTGGGCCAAATGTAGGCAAACAATGCAGTTTACAGAGTTCCTCTTCGTTGTCATTGTGCAATTTGTGGATGGATTAGAGCGATGTGCAGCGGGGCGGCAAAATTTACAATGGAAATGCGAAAGATGCATCGTGTGTTGAACAGGAAGATGAGCGCTGGATCGATCAAGGCGCCAGCCTAGAATTTCACAGAACGACAGAGCGTGAAGCAGTATGTCGAGGCCTCAAGACAAACTCTACTGCACACTAGGGTGATGGCAAAGATCCGAGAACCTGTTCACGCCGCTCATAGTACCCAACGTCCAACGTCACACTCAACGAAATCTACTGTATTACCCAATGCCAGATGCTGTCTAGAACGTCGTATCCAGTACCAAAAGTCAAAGTATCTTTGCCGATCGTTGTTTTTGGTGCATTCTCGGGTTGGAGAGGCTGCTGGGCAAACAGAATGGGGTGAGCTCCGCAAGATGTATGTGGTCGATAGGATGGATTAACCTTGTTGTCGTCGCCGTCGGCACTAGGAGAAGTGGATGGTTGATACGCCATCTGTGACAGTCATCTTGTGCTCTGGGCCGCGTGATTTTTCCGTTTGTTGGCGTCGAGTAGGTTTCTTGCATGTCTTGTTAGCGAGATGAAAGGGATTTTGAGTAAGTGGCAAAGTAGCAGAGGTTTGTTCTCTACCCTGCTTTAAAATATTTTGATGCAAAGATAATGTGCGTTGAAGTAGCAATGGGAACTATACGTTCATCAAACCTTGTTCCCTGTTCTCACCGCAGCCTACATCGAATACCGTCTCTTTCCTTGGAACTCGGGACTGCAAGCGCCATGAATTCGTTCGTTTTCTGTGGCAGAGAAAGGTCGCGACTGTACGTCAAGATGGAGGTGACTCGGCAAGAAGGCTGGGATGTGGACTTGGCGAGGCGGGTTTTGACACAAGCACTTCAAGATTCTTCGATCGTTGACAAGATTCGAGCGACCTGCGGGGAGGGAATCACAGCCGTTTTCGTAGTCCTCATGCGGTAACTACACTCCAATGTTGTTTATCATTCTCATCTAAAGACTTCATGTAGAGGCATCCCAGAGGGAAGTGCTATGTTGGCTACTCCGCACTACACGGCAAGGATTTTCGATGCCCACGGACAGTGTCCTTATCTCGGCGGCATTCATGCCTTCGACAATGAGCATAGGATGGACCCAACTTTCCAGCATCGAGACCACAAGACAACTGATTGTTGGACAGTGAAGAACACCTATTTTGATCGTGTGTGTAAGATCGTCAAGCTCTGAGAGTTTACTAGAAGTGGTGTGTTAGATAGTTCTTGAATTCATTGTCTACAACTGACTCTCCACACCGTGCAGTCCAGTCCTGCTTCAGCATCCTACCCAGCAAGTTCGGTCCAGGTGCATTGTAAGACTCATCTGAGTAGTGGGACCCATTCACAAAAATTACAATATCTTGAACATCTCTTCTATTTGACCGAGGTCCACACTTGTACTGTGTTGTACTAATTGTATCATACATCTGCTCCTTGACCAATGTGCCCCTTCTGAACTATATTGTTGCCTCTCTAGCAGCTTTGTTGTCTTTGGGTGAGTTACCTTCACTTCTAGATCTCCATGTTATTCTCTTGATAGCTTGGGTTTGCGGACTCCCAGCTCAGTTCAGGTATTCCCATAGTTAGTAATTTCAATTCCCTGAGACAAAATATCCTGAATGAGTAATTGTCACAAAATTTGATTTCAATATTTCCGGCGCAAATAGTCTATTGCATATTTTTGCCTATTCATGTAGAATAATTTGAGGAGGATGAATTGCAATATTTAAAAGGTCCTTCATAATAGAGGCTTTGCGCAAAGCCAGCTGGAGCCAGTGCTGGCTCAAAAACGTTGCGCTGTGTCATGTAGCCAGTAGCGGCCAATTGGCGACTATGCTTTTAGCTTAGTCTTATATTGCGCCATGTATGTCTGGATGCCAGGGGAGTTCAATGACAATGCAAGTATCTCATCGTATTCATCCGCGCAGGTACAGCAATCTCCAGAAACTAACCTATATATGGAAACTGAGCCAGCAGAAAATATCAACCGAGATCAACCGTTGATCAACCGCCCCCACAGACTGATATCGCATGGAGCTCTCCAGCAAATATGAGGTTATAGAGAGATGTAAGTAATATTAATATATGGCATTCATCAGTCTGGTATTCAGGTTCTGCTGGCTAAAGGTCTCAGCGCAACACATTTGAGCCACCACTGGCTCCAGCTGGCTTTGCGCAACGCCTCTAATATACCTTGAGTGAATAAGTAATTATATATTTAAACAAACCTCCACATATGTTCATGCTATACATGCTAGTAAATATGCGCCAATGCCCGCAGTGTAATCATTGCAAACGATACCTCTTCTGTCTCACCTATCGGCCACGACTCGACATGGTTCCCCGGAACAGTCGCCATGCAACTTCCCTTCGCAGGAGGAGAAGTAAACCATACCGTATTAAACGACGGTTCTTGTACCCTCAATGGCATATAAGTAACACAGTTCCAGGTCAGTTGTCCTTCGTGCAAGAAATCTGAGCGAAATTCTGAACAATCGATCCATGGATCCATTTGTTTCATTCACAAGACTCAATTCATAGTTTCCATCGACAGGCCCTATGATTAAAATAAACACTTCAGATGTAAGCTATGTGAGGGTCTTGCCTTTAGAAGGCAAGTCGGAGATGCACCTCACGTTCACGCGTCGACGCGTCGCGACGCGTTGCAATAAATAAGACCACGTGGTAGCGTATGCCGATCATGTGCATGACTGGTTGACCATTGACCTTGCCTTCTTACCTTCATGACTTCTGTTTTTTGCGCTCAACTACGGCGTAGCGCTGTTTTATCCCTACCCGTTCGCCGTCTCTTGCACACGCAAGGCGACTTGAGCACTCAGAACTCTGTCAATCGCGATGAAATAGCACATTTCTCGAAACTCTCGTCTAAATGGTGGGACGAGCAAGGGGAGTTCGGGTTTCTGCACAAAATGAACCCTGTTCGTATGCAATTTATTCGCGACAAGCTACACGAGGTCGCCCTCGACGAGGATAATGGCGCTCCTGACAAGGCGGACGTTCTGAAGGGATTGGACGTATTGGACGTTGGATGCGGTGGCGGTCTGTTGTCCGAAGTGCGTCTTGGTCCCCCCAAGGCTTCAAGTTGAATCTAACCTCCTCACTAATTCTTAGAGTCTGGCGCGGATGGGTGCCAATACGCTGGGTCTCGATGCTTCCGGGTCGAATATTGCTATCGCATCACTTCACGCCGCAGCGGATTCGAGACTGTCGCCTCCAGCGGATGCGTCTTCTTCCCAACGGAGCAATTTGACATACATGAACACTTCCGCCGAAAAATTGCTCTCTCAACCGAAACGCTACGATGTGGTATGCTCAATGGAAGTCCTCGAGCATGTCGACAACCCGTCGGCTTTTCTGTCTTCCTGTGCTGAGCTAGTGAAAGTAAGCCTCTCCCTCTCATGAATTTCAATTCCGCGATAACCAATTACATTTTAGCCTGGCGGCCATCTCTTCCTTTCCACTATTTCTCGCACAGCGCTAGCCTACGGTCTCACCATCCTCCTCGCGGAAGACGTCCTTCGCAAGGTGACCAGCGGTACACACACCTACTCCAAATATGTCAAGCCTTCAGAGCTCGTCCAATTCTTCCATGGATACCAATCACCGCGATTGCAAGGCTCCTCGAAACCGTCATCGCTGTCAAGGCCATGGATTTCAACGCCGGCGTCCAGCAGCTACCTGCCGAGGAGAGAAGCAGAACTGCGTGGGCTGATATATAACCCTCTTCAGGCGAGATGGCACCTTGCTCCCAAAGACGCATGGGGTGCCCTGGAGTGTAATTATCTGTTTTGGGTACGGAAGCCCAAGGACTGAGAGACTGGCACAACTATACATTCAATCCGCCATCACTGTCTCCTCGTCTGGGTATGCTCTAACAATCGCATATATTTATTACATCAAGCCCACGCCAAAGGAAAGAAAGAAAGCAAGATGCTGGGCAGCAAGGAAAATGTGGTCAGGAATCTAATGCTTGCCCTTCTTTCCCGTGCTCCTCCTGTTTTTCTTCTCCCTCCCACCTCCATCGGCCGTGGAACTTGGAGGCTCTTCCGCCTTTCTCTTCTGTCCCGCGAGCACATTGCTCTTGACGCTAACAACTATCGACTTGCCGCCACTAGCAACCTGAGCTTCCGCAAGACCCCAGTCTGTCTGGCTGTCGTCAATGGCGTACCTAGATGGTCAATCAATACATGCCGTTCAATAAGACGCCCACATGCGAGGCAGGGAGACTGATACCAACTTTCTGAGATCAAGTGAACTCAGCAACTCCTTCTGTCGCTCCCTGACAGCCCTCAGGGCTTCGTCACCCGCTTCGTCCAGCTCCTCTTGCATGGCCGTAACAACGTTACCCTCGCCTAACGTCACGTTCTTGAGCGGCGAAGGAGCTCCAAGCCCAGTGGTCAGGCTGACATTGGCAGTGGGAAGCGCAGAGCTAATGGCAGCTTTCCTGATATCGATTAGGCGCTTGCTAATCTTGCGGATGATCTTTCCGAAGAGGGCGAGGGTCTGAGAGGCCGGCAGTTGCAGCTCCGTCTACAAATGAATGAAGGATTTAATGCCAATCTCGAGGATAATCAGCGAGTAACCAACCTCCAAGTCCTCAAGCGTTTTTCTTTGTAGCCCAATCGCAAGCAGGATGCTGCTTTGAACTGCCGTTAGGCGTAGTCCTTCGGCAGGTTGCCCCTCTCCATTTGTTGAACTGGATCCCAGACGTCTCTGGAAGTACAAATTTGCGACTGTCGGCATTAAATCAAGGATGACGTGATAGTCCAACATGTTGTTCGCGTAGGATTCCAAGCGTTTGAGGTCGAATGGCGTGAAGAGCATTGCCAGTTCGTCTGATGAGAGTTCTGTGGAACGGCAATGAGAACCTCACTGTAGATCAAATCAACACAAAAGAATTCACCTTTGCCGTCAGATCCCGCCTTCATACCAATATTAACAGCCTCAAGGATGCTCAGAGCTGTAACGCTTCCAAACTCGCGGAACTTATACGATAGCAAAGAAAGGAACCGTCTTCGGAAATCTACAACAAGCCTGTTAATAAAACGTATGAACAGTGCAAGAGCATCCGTACCCTTTGCGAACTCTTGCAGCCACTCCATCTCACTGTCAGCCGAGCTGTTCAAGCCACGGACCATGACGCACGTATGCTCACCAGTGAGCTCGCTGGTTGTCTGGCGGAGGTACAACGGCACGTAGCCAGCACGCTTCCAGAACCTGTAAATAGTCATGGGGATAAGAGGCAGTCGCCAATGACATTGACTGAGAGCATACCGAAGGAGTTGCGGTGTCAGACCGTATGAAACGCCCAGGTAGTCAAGATTTTCGGGCTTTCTCTCAGAAAGGCGTTGTAGGAGGGGTGGCATGGCAGTTGCTGCACGGACTTTTGGCATGTCCGTGAGAAGGTCCGTGCCCTGTACTTTTTTGTCGGTTAATGCAATATAAAACAGAAATGAACGTACAGGCTCTATTTCTATTTGGTTGGGGTATCGGACCTCGGGTCGTGAGGACTCATCAAGGCTGAAGTACTCTCCGCTGTAGAAAGAATTCAACGCTTGAAGGGCTCGTGACCCATATCCCATCTGAAAGCAAAACAACAATCAGCAGCTTATATTTCGAAGTAGTTATGCGCCACTCACGTTGGCATAATCAGGATGGCAAGCAATCCTAACCACGCGAGCACCACTCAGTTTTGCGAAACCGCTCTCCTGGAATTGCTGTGTTAGCAGCCAAGGGATCATATCCCCACCTGCCCTCATGCCCCTTCCAAGGCCCTCCAAAATCACCTCCTTGCTAATTTGGCCCTCCAATGCTACCTGTAGGACCACCAGCGGTTCTGGAAGGTGTGTCTCATCATCTTTGATGGGTGGCAGAAGGACGAAGAGATGGTGTGCAGGTGCATCGGAAAGGAGCTGGAGGTCATTCGGCTGGTTCTTGTAGTGTGACGCGACGTATAACGCCATCATCCGTTGGAGGAACACCTCAGAGGCGGGGTGGTAGCTGAAGAGCGTGTCACGGCTCACGTAGAAGAGCTCGCATGTTGAAGGGTGTGGGCATCCTTGAGCATTCGCTCTAGGAAGGATGGTGGCATCGAGACAAAGCAAGCCGTTCAACCATTTCTCGATTTGGTCTCCGGAGCCATATCGAATGGGCGTCTCTAGCTTAATCTCGCGCAACGTGCGCGTTTTTGGGGGTGCCTTGACTGTTGGCTTTTTACTCGACGATGCAGTGGCTGTCGTGTCGCCTTTGTCGTTCTGCCCAGCAATGTCTTTCGTCAGCGAAGGTCTAGTGCTTTCGCGTAGTTGTTGGATGAGTTTGAGGGAGAGAGAGCGGCCCGTTCCTTCGTAGCCATTGATCGTTGATGCCAGGAAGACAAGGTAAGGCCCAATGAGGTTGCGAACAAGGGGAAGGGGGATGGCTGCCGCCTCGTCGATGATGACAAGCTCAGCTTGACCGAGGACGTGGGCATCTTGAGGTTGGATGTACTGGAATTCTTTGTTATTGTCATGACATTCTTTGAAAATGTCAATCACGCACTTGAATTGTCTGCCGATGGTCTCTGAAGACATTTACCCGAACCACTGACTTACTAGCCTCATCTTTATTCTCTCCTAAATTTTGCGCGACCGCAATATCATAATCCAGATGTTCCTCATAACCAAGAGCATCCAGCCCTTTGAAAACAAAGTCGAAAAGGGTCTTCAAGTTCTCTGGACTTGGACTTGTGACAAAAATGTTGGCATACCCATGGGCAAGAGCAGCAGCAATTGCCAAACCTAGGGCAGCACTCTTTCCCCTTCCTCGAGCGGCAGTAAGTGTCACAGTTGATGACAGTGTTTTCTCTGCTATGGCGTCAATGAAAGTCAGGATGGCCTGCGCTTGGTCGAGAGTCTTCGCCAACTTCACGAGTTCTCCGGCAGGTTTAACGTCGACAAGGGATTCACGGAGTTCTTGCAACTGTGGTTCTGACGGGTCGCCTTCTTTGCCCTTGCCAGGGCTGTCTGAAATGGGAGTGATGTCTTTGCCCCGCGATATGGGAAGGACATTGAGTTCGTCATCAAGAACTAAGCAATCAGGACATGAACCCAGAGAGAGGATGAACCGTTCATTAAACCTTGCAACAACGGAATCGTGTGAGGAAGTGCGGTATCTGGCATGTACGTCCTAGATGGTGGACCACCGTTAGAAGTTCCAGATTGAATGCAGAGAATTCGACGTACCATGGACATCGTATAAAGCTGCTTCAGAGATGTCATCGTCTTCAGCAGTAGAACCACAAGGCCGCCTCCTTCAACCGTTTCAATTGTCCGTGCGAGAAGATTTGGGGTAATAGCCTCAAAATCTTGCAGAACACACATGCCGTATGTGTTGCCGAGAATTTTGTGGGATTCCTTGTAATACCTGTCAGACGGCGTATTAGGTTACTTTTCGAGGGTGTGCATGAAGTGAGAAGCGCACGTATAACGGATATCTGTAACGGTGACAAATATCTCGAAAGGGTTCTGTTCATTTGCCTCTCGGATACCCCGCTTCACATCTCGCTTGATCTTGGCCTCTCTCTTCTTTCGATGACTTGTAAAGCCAAGATCTTTCTTGTAACACCATAGCACGGAAGGTCGAGCAGAAACGCGCGCTTGGGACAGAAGGAAGTGTAGATTGACGATCTATAAGCAGGAAATGGGCGCCTGGTCAAAAGCGAGAGAATATCAACGCACTTGTTCGCGGCCTTTGTCGCCGACGAGAACTATGAAGGACCGATGGTTCTTCTTGACATTGTTGTTGATGAGAATGGGGATCCGAGGGTCCAGTTGTTTCCGCATCCTGAGTCCTTGCGCGTTTTTCGAGAGCGCCGCAGAGGGTTGCAGACTTTTTGATCGGAGTTCACACGGACCGGGCCGGACATGGTTCACGGGACTACACGGCCCGGCGCTGTACTTCAGAAACTCGCAACTTCAACACAATTCTTTCTCCTTTAAATGAGTCATACGCTGATAGATAGCGTTTTGACACGAGTATCCGCGATGGCTTCAAAATTATGCGTAAAATAACTTTCTTCCTTTCACGATTGAAGGTTTTCAGCAACGAGTTGAACTATGTACCCATCATACCCCAGGTACCTAACGCAATTCAAGGGTGCCGCCCACCCGTCTCTTCAGCAAAAGCAGAGAGCAATTGCTGAAGAAACGGGTGGGCGACACCCTTGAATTGCGCCACCATTGCTGACGACAATCACAAAATCAGCAATTGTGGACAAGGCAGGGAATACAATGTGTGGCACCGAACCATACAAAAAACAAAACGCCGAACGACAATAGTTTAAAGAATGTTTGAAAGAAAACAAAACAGGGGATAAGCTGTCAGGAGGACAAGACCAGAGGCCAGCAGACGATGAGAGACACGGTGCTAGAAGGGTTGACGACGGCGACGGCAAGAGCAAGGGAAACACAGAAACAGAAGAGCGTTTAGGGGCATGGTTGTCGATACCCAAGAGTCATGCGATAGTCAAGAGTCGAAGACCATGTCGGAGTGATGGGTGAGAGTGATGGGACAAAACAGACGATACACACACAGCACACAGCACAAACAATCTCAACGAAAGAAAGAAAGGAGAACAGAAACGCGCGGCACCGAAACAATCGCGCTACACTTTTTTTTTTGAAAAGGAAAATATTCACGCAGAAACGAAGTCTTGAAGTTTCTAGGGAGTGAAAGGCGCGCGATTAGTTAACAAGACTGGCAAAGGCGGGAGGCTGACTTACTGATCACACATCCTTGAGGGGGCAAGCGGGTCAACGAAAGCAACGAGCAAAGGCGGTGACGATATCGAGAATGAAAGAGCGAACAATAGAGGGATGAAGATCCAGAGACAGTGGGGAGACACTAGTGGCACAGCACAGCACGAACACAGCACAGCGAACTCAACTCAGCAATGGCCAGAGACGAAGGCGAGGGGCACGACACAGGCTCGCGAGCAACATGAAGGACACACGGCACAATGAAGGAGAGAGAGGAGGAGGAGGGCGGGGATGGAGGAGAGAGGAGAAGAGCGGTGGCAAGCCCAGTTGGAAACGGGACGCGTTTTATAGCGCTTCGTCACGTGTGGGCGAGTCAAAGCGAGGGTGGCTTGCATCCGTTTGTGGGCGGCGCGAGCTACTCATCGATCAGAAAGATGTTTGTGAAAGCCGCTTGTGGCAGCCACTTTTGTCCGTGTATAAGCGGCTGCCACTGTTTCTGGCAAGCACCAGATATGTCAACTCTTACCATTCGGAGCTGAAAAGGAGATGGAATGATAATCAAGCAAATTGAACAGCATTCTTGACAGATTGGAGCGCCTCGTGCCCGCATCTAGGCTAAATGAGTCAGGATACCCGGAAGAAAGCTGCTTGTTATTGGCGTGTTGGAAATAGCAAGTGAATAAGACATAAAAGCGGTCATGAATAGCGATAATTGTCTCCGTTTGTATCCGTAATGGCTCACTCAAAAGGCATGCCCTCGACCGCTTCAGAGAGGGACTCCCAATTATTGGCCACATTCTCTGCGTATACGTGCTCTTCTCTGGCGAAGCCTTGAATGGCTTGGGTCAGCAAAGCGTTCTCCCGGTTGTGCAACACGACGCGCAGCTCGTGCCACATGCTGTGTCAAAGGGATCCAAGTTAGTGTGTATCCCGGTCCTTGTATTTCCTGACGCACCAAGCGCGAATAAACACACGACGACTGAGCTGTGCGGCGATTGTCGCTTGGTCCTTCTCGATTAGGGCTGTCAGCCGGTCCACTTCTTCCTGCCAGTTCTCCTTTTGCGCCACTCTTGCGCCTTCGAGCTTCAGGGAGTTTGTTTCAACTCTCTTCTTCAATCGCTCTACCTGGTCAAGGGACAGCCTATCGTGTCTGATGAACAAGTCTCGAGTGGCAAGGTAAAGGTCGCGTTGAGACTAAAGGGAGACACAGCAGGTGAGGATGGTTGGTGGCGTCTGTGATACGAATTGACTCACTTTCAGTGCCTCCAATGTGGTGTCTAGAAGCCCTCGTGACTGCGTCTATCATCAACGAGGTCCTGAATTAGACAGAGCGTCAAAAAACTTACTCTGATCTCCGATATCTCTGAATATCGCTGAGTGTGGGCGGCGACTTGTTCAAGCCCAGAACGAACTCCATTTGACAACTCACAGTCATCACCCCTCCAACATGTTTCGTTCACTTCAACGACCGCCCGTAGAGTGTTGGTCAACCTGGCCAGATCGCCCTGGGCATCAGCGAACGCCGGAATATTGAAGCCCAAGAAAGATTGAGTCAGCGATCCGGTCATTGATTGGGGCGAGCCAGGCGAAGACGTCGTTGTCGAGGGAGAAAGAACGGGCAAGGTGAAGTGAGTCGGCAGAAAGGCTCGACGTAGAGCTGGAGGCACTCGTACCGCAGCTGCTTCTTTTCTCTTGATTATCCGCTCCGCGAGGATGCATATTCGTTGCCACTGCTCTATCAGGGGGACAACCTTTCCTCGAACAGCCCTATGCAGACAGCATGGGTATTACGCGCAAAGAGTCAGTAAGAGGGCTTACGCGAGCTTTTCTTCCAAATCACTGGGAATAGACATCTCTTCAGCCCTATCAACGCGCTTCGAGGCAGATTCTTCGTCCAAAGATATGGAGGACTGCTTTCTCCACGCTTCGAAAGACGGTTCACTCAAGAACGCGAACATAGCCCCATCGTCTTTCATAACAGGATGGTTGCTAAAGAGAAATGTCAGTATAGTAACCACATGCAAGCAAAGGCAGAGTAGACGAACACAACCGAACTGAGGGCTCTTGCCAAACCACGCCTAGAAATACAACGTTGGTCGAAGGAGTCGGGCCATCGAACGATGTGCATCACCTTCTTTGTTCCAAGAATTGCTCATCGGCTGGGAGAAGAATTAGGAACGCAGATCGGAAGGCCGAGGATATTGTACTCACCTCCGACGCGCTTGGGCGGGAGTGCAGGGAAAAGGCGGAACGGATAGCGACGAAAAAGAATATCCCACAACATGACGAACTCTGAGTATCGGCGAGTCACGGCGTTTCCTCTCCTCTATAAGCATCATTCAGCATAGGCACAACACTCGTGGCAGGAAAACTGAATGACGCACATCAGATGTGACCTCATAAACCGTATATCTGTTGAGGATGAACCCCTGCTGCCCGAGAATGGTGACCCTGATATTCTCCTGCTTCTTCCACCACTCAGGTGGCAGGCCAGTTCCGAGTGTGTTGGAAGTTCCAGTCGACAGCGTAGCAGGGAGGTCCGCAAAGACACCTGGGTTGGTGGGATACCGAGGGTTGGTGTTCCATGGATCGTCAGAAGAATAAGCTGGAAGGGGCTGCCGAACGCTCGGAGTACTGTTCTTCCTTAGAGAAGAAGTGGGAGGAGGTATCGTAGAGCCGGACGGCTGAAGTCGATCAAGGTCGAGTGTCGGTTCCGGCAAGGTATTCTGGGAGGAAAGCGCGGCAACTTGTTCGATGCTCACATCTGCGCGCAAGAGTGAATAGGTAGATATGAGGTACAGTCAAGAAATATACCCTTCCCGGACTGTGCCAACGCAACAAGTGCCAGAGCAACGAAGAATTCAAGTTTGGACACCCGCGGACGAGAGCTGACGAGGTTCACAATCTGGCACCATGGTAAATACACGTCCCGAACGAGAACCCGCTATAAGCTCACCCTATCAATAGTACTCGCCGGAAGTCCGGAGGTGCTGAGCACGCGAGATAAAGCGTTGACTGAGGTCTCTCCTGTATTGGACGGGTCGACAGCGGCATACGAGCGATGATAAATGGATGGTACAGTCGCGTCGGCTATGGTGGTTTCTCTTCAGTCAGATGTTCCACACCATAGCAGAGTTGTGATCACCTATGACCGCGCTGAATACAGAATTCGGGGCAGCCTGAGGGGCAGGCGTCGGTGTCGGGCTCGGGGCAGCACTCCAAGGGTCAAGGCCGTCATCGTAGACGGAATTAGCAAGCGGGTTGTCCACAAAGCTCCCTCCGAACCCGTTAGAGGTCGTGTTATATCGTTGGGCAGGCCGGGGCGCGTTAAACATGATAAGAACAATAAAGAGGAGGGTGAATATAGGCTTGCACCTGTCCGGCACAGGCAGACAGGATTGGCAAACGGTTTGATGATGACGGAGTCGCTGTGTGGCCTTGTTGTCTGGTGGCCCACATCAACGTTCCGCTCAGCAAGTAGTGTTTCGAACGTTGCTCTGCTGCTCTCCAATCCCAATCGTGCAGCGTCTCTCATTTAGGCATCGGAAGTGATATTTATATACAAAGCGTTGTAGAGGGTATGCATATCTCCGATGTGCATCGTCCAGCTGCTCCATCCAGCAACTCTCTCTTTCACACTTCATGTGTGACCTTGGCGGCGAAGTGAAGTGTCCAGCTGGAGAGCAGCCTCTTGCTGTTTACTTGCTCACCCGTCAAGCTGTGAATAAAAGGTATCAGCACAAAGTATTAGCCAAGGAGAATGAAACATACCCTGGTGTGCCGTATGTCAGTGGTGCCATGAAGCCAAACATAAAGAACATAATGAGACTGAAGACGAGGAGGATGACCGGGCCTTTGAGACCGATGTCAGAGTATTGGGATGGGCGAAGCCTTGTTTTAGGGCCTCTCGCAGAGATCGGGTAGTTGATGGTTTCGCTGAGCACAAAGCTGAGGACGGATCCAGCGATGAGAGCGGACGAGAGGTGTGACGGTAGATAGTGGTGAATAAAGAGTTGGCGATTGAATAGGAAGAAAGGCAGGTAGTGGACGGCCCAGACGAGGAGGAAGAAGCCAGTGTTGTTCCAGAGACGGTTGCGGACGGCTAAGCAGTCGTTGAGCAAATAGTTAGAGCATGTCGGAGAAAGACTTACGATCAGGGATGGGGTCCATTCCGCGACGTCTTGCAAGAAGGTCGGCCCCGAGGATGCCAACATAGATCGAGAGGGCAATGATGCAGGTCCACCAACCGATAATATTGCCAATGAGGTAGATCTGCTTCTTAGAATCATTCTCGGTCCAGAAGCTGATACCCATAAGGAGGAAGGGCCAGTTGATAGGGCTACTAGCGTAAGGATGGGAGGCAGTCAAGCCAGCATTGTGCTGCATCATCAACAGTTGCAATTCGCCAAATTTGCGGAAGAAGTTCATTTTCTTGGGAGCCTTGACGGGTTTCTTCTCCTCTTCCCGGTCGTCGTCCGCTGACCAAGAGCATCGTGAGATACGAGGAGGAGCAAGAAACGTACGGCTTACCTTGACTAGCAATTTCGTCAACATACCAAGTCGCAGTCTTCTCTGTTGGGTTCTTGTTTCCGTTGATTTCTTGCTGCTTGAAGGCCCAGTCAGGTAGCTGAGATGCATGGGTCCACATCGACACCTTCGTTGGGACGTGGATCAGCCTGAAGTGGCCGGACTTCGTCTTCCAAGCTTCGCCTTCATGCCCATTCACAAGCACGACCTGAAAGAGAGTGTCGTTGTGCCGAGAATGATCGTCTTTGGGCCAGGTTGTGAACTCTTGATTGGTAGGCATCAAAGGTGAGGCGACATCATGGGTCAGGAGGTGGGTTTGGGTGTTGACGTGGAGTAGCTGGATAACATCCTCATTGCGGACGATCCGTCCGCGGCCAGTTTCAGGAAGGGCCTTGGTAGGAATGACCCTCCAGAAGTTGTTAGTATCGTTGTGGCCATATCCGGTAACCTGTTGACCTGTTGCGGCGATCAGCTAGGAATCATGATCGTTTAAACGACGGAAACAAACCTTGGCTCGAAATACGTCCGTCGGCGTAAGTCAAGGGGTACCGCTCGACGTGAGAGTGCAGGAACACTTTTGTTTCCTTGTGCCTCATAGAGATGACATCATAATAATGGATTTCTGATATCACCATTAACTTTTGCACATAAGAGAGAAAGCGTCGGAGGCAAACCTTTGCTATTCATGAGCATCTCGTTTCCTGCCAAAGTCTCTTGGAACGCAGGGCTCATGAAGTTATCACCAGGACCGGATTGTGTGAGGACAGCAAAGTGAACGTAGAAGAAGGACAAATAGATAAGGAACGGAACGAGGATGAGACCAATGGCCCGAGCGGTGAAGTGCTTCCAGAAATAATCCTATGGAAATACTATGAGCGTAAATACACCATTTGTATGCACGGAAATACTTGCCATAGTGTGCCCTTCCTTCTTATAGTCAAGAATATCCCAGAGGTCAATCAAGACCGCGAGACCGATCGCGAAAACGGTAAGGATGCCGTTGACCTTTGAGCCCCAGGTACAAGCCATAAAGACCCCAGTAAGAACCAGCCATGTCCACCATTCAGGCGTAAATTCTCTGAACACATTTATTAGCGAGAGCTCTGGAATGGTTGACCAGCAAACACACCTGTAGCGAAGTTTGCGGAATCGAATGTAGCCGTAAATCGTTAGAGACATGAAGAAAATTAGGGTAGCGTCGAGAAGGATGAGGCGGGATTGGGCAATGTGCGCATTATCTGTAGATACGGACACCGTTCATCAGACGCCTGGGCCATCCATAAGTGAGAAAAGACACACCAAAAAGAATGAGCGCGGCAGAGAATGACGCAATGACCGTCGAGTAACCACTCTCCTTCATGATAGCATACACAACCGGGACGGTAAGACTGCCGAGAATAGCCGGGAGCGCCCGCATGCCGACGTATGGGACGTGGTTGGTCGTGTACGAGTCGCCAATGTTGTCGAACGTGAAATGGCCGTCAAAGCCAACAAACCAGCCCGCAAGACCGAAGAGGAGCTTGGCGAAGGGCGGATGTACGTCGAAATAGTACTGCCGCATGATGTAGTGCGACGCGAATTTGCCAAAGTGGACTTCATCGAAGCTGGCGGACGGAGTGCATGAGCAGGGCGTCCGGTTGAAGAGTGGGATGGGAGAAGAGAGAAGGGGATAGCAAAGTGCTTACACGACCTGGTCTGGATGGTTGATCTTGTAGAAGCGCAGGGCGAACGCCAGCGCCGTCAGGACGCTCACAACGACCACGCTCGCTTTGGGCGACTCGAGGAGCACCTCAATGTGGTTTCTATCTCTCTATACGCCGCATACAGAGATAGAATCAGCAATCTCTACTTAAACAAACCAACGGAGACACGTACGGGGTTCTGGTATACAACGTCAACATGCTCGTCGTCTTGCGAGCCCTCGTGTTCAGTGTTCGACGGGCCAGCGTGGCTGTGGCGCTGCCGTATGGTGCCTTTCTCCTTGCCGGCCATGACGGGAAGAGGAAGGAGCGGGATTTTTGCAGCTGGGTGCGAGACGGGTGGAGGTTGGAATTAAGGATGCAATTGACGCGGGCGACCTGCCCGCTCTCCTTGCCACGAATGAACCTTATGTAAGCATGTCAGGGCGCCTGCGCCACCCAGGAAGCAGGCGAGGGAAAATATTCGCTTTGTATTCGGAACGACGTCCAAAGAAAATATGAAAGTGCGTATACGTGTCGCTCACGCACGGATTCTGGATTGTTTTTCACAACAATGGTCTAGAGTCCATGGATTGTTCATCGCCATTGTTCCGCACAATGAGCTCAACTCATACTTAGCGTGTTCGTATGCAACATAATTTACTGATATTCCGATTCCCTACTCGACGGACAACAATGGATGTCAAAACGCCAGTAGGACGTAAATCGTCTAGGAAAGAAAAAGATAAAAGCCCAATACAACGATGAGAAAGTATGTGCAAACGGGAGGGAAACGAGGGACAGTAGAGTCGTTCAGACAGAATCAGAGTGAGGAAAAATGGGAGATAGATATTGAGATGTTAGGACTGGACAAAACTCCAAGGAGCGGACGACGGTGCGAGGAAAACAAGAAATGAAAGAGAGATAGAGAGAGAGAGAAAAGGAAAACATAAGTAAAAAGGAGAGTGGTGCCGGTTCTATGTAAAATAGGCTTTGGTCGGGGGTGGATGGGTGGCTGGCCTCGAATAATTAGTGGAGGAACGAGGAAGTGGGGTATGGTATAAAGATAAACTGAAATGACATCGTAAGGAGCGAGGGTCGACCAGTCGATGCCGTGGACGTTGAACAGGGACGCAGGAAGTGGGTGTCACAAGATAGCATGGTACAATAGTGTAAGGAGCGTGTCGAGATGAGCTGGCCGACCTGGGGCGCAGAGAAAGGCGAAGGAAGATGGAGAGGCGCGTTAGAGTCGTTATGGTGCAGATGCAGAAGATAACATAGATGAGATGGGGTATTACTCCCGCGCCACCCAATCTGTGCTCCTCGACACTAGCTCGATCGAGTTGTCTGTCGTCCAGAACAATCTTTCTGTCGCGCTCCTTCCACTCCACGCCTTCTGGTCTCTCAGGATCATAGCCTAGAAGATATCAGACCCGCTCAAAGTGAAGAAAAAAAGCAAACTCACCTGCTGAGCTCCAAAGTTCCTCTGATCATGTGCGAACAACTCAACGTTATCCTCCAGCGCCTCCGACAAGATCTGCAAGTCCTGCAAGATGCTCTGCATCGCCCTAACCGTCGCCAGCGTCAACATCTCCTTCCTGTTCCTTCCCCCCGCCGCATGCGGTGCCGAGAGGCCCTTCGAGATACTCTGCAGCACCGTGTGTAGAATCCGCTTCGTCTCGCCCATGATCTTCTGCGCTTGTGGGAAGTTCCGCCTCGACACCAGCACCAGCGCGCGTGTGATCATATCCGATGCCAGCAGCTCCATGCGCCTTCGCACAATGAGCGGATCGGACACGGCCGACTGGGGCCGACCACCGTTCGCCGCTCCGCCGGGGGTCAAGGGCAGGAGGGTGATGGTGAGTAGGACGGGGTGCGCGAGGCGCGACACGTTCTTCGCCGCGACGGGGTCGAAGAACGACCCGTCCACCTCGACGACGGGCACCTCGTCGATCATGCGGTCCATCATCCCATCCGTAAAGTCCGCGTCGTCGATCGCGAGAGCGTCGAGCCCCATCGCCTGCACGAACTGGTCCGTCGCGTTCAGCGCGCGGTCCCTATGTCCTCCGCGCTGCCCCATCCGCTGCTGGTCCGTATTATCCAGCTCCAGCTCGATCAGCATCTCCTTCCTCTCCCCATATCTCAACTCTCCCACATCGATGTCGACGTTCTGCCCGTCCGCAGAGAGTATGGACTGCGGCCCGCCGGAGACCTTGCGGATGCGGAACCGGTGCGCGTCGACGATCTTTAGATGGAGCTTCATGTTGAGGAGGCCGATCGACATCATCCCGCCGACGCACCCTGCGACGCAGTCGCGCAGGTCGTACCAGTCCTTGACGAATGTGTACGTCCCGCTCGTGTGATTCGACATGAGCCAGAGGGAGGCGGGGTCGTGCGAGCGGCCGTAGCCGAACGAGTGTATTGGGACGTTGGCGGCCTCGGCGCGCGCAAGGACGAGGTCCATCTGCGCGCGGCGTGTGCTGTCGGACGCGTCGCTGATAAGCAGCATGCCCGAAACGGGGTTGCGTGCCTTGCGTTGCAGAACAACATCGAGACCTAATCGAGAAACCCAAGTAGCACGCGGCCCAAGTCACATCAGACAAGAGAAGAAACGCAAAGTAAATCAGGCAGGAAGCAGCAAAGAGACCATTCAAATCCATCAGCACCACTGGACGAAAAAAGAAAGCACAACGCACCATGGTTCACAGCGGTAACCACGTCCGTCTTCTCTTCCTTCGCGCCACGCACCATAAATTCATCGCGGGACTCCTCGAGGCGCGCTCCCGTCTCGTCTACAAACTTCTCGAGGCGCGCCCTGCTCTGCGCCTTGCCGACGCCCAGGAACGGTGTCTTCCTAACCCGTCCTCCAACACCGACCTCGAAGGTAACCAAGCTTAAGCGGTCCTTGGGGCCTAGCGACGCGACGATAAAGTCCAGCGTGGCCTTGATCACGCGGACTTTGAGCTGTGCGGTACTTGGTAGGGCTGTCGGTGGCGGCAGAGAAATGACGAGGATGAGGTCCATGGAGGGGTGCGGGAGGGGTGTCAGGGAGTTGGACGGTCCAGAGGACGTGTGTGGCGTAACTAGATGTGTTGGGCTGTCGTATGCGCTCAGCTCGTCGTCCTCTCCGAGTGTCGCTAGCTTATTGAGGTTCTGTCGGCTCATCGATCCATGAGACGTTGAAGACGACATCGTCGATCTTGAGCTCCCGTTCAGGAGACTGTCGACCGTACTCACCGTCGTCTGGGTACTCCCACTTAACATACGCATCGCCTTAGAGCTCCCTCCAAACTCCTCAATATCAAGCGGTCTTTCCGGCTCTGGTTGGCGTGCAATCCCGTTCTGTGCTTGGAACATGTTGACGAGGGCCTGTATGTTATTTTTCCATGATTCGAGTGACGATCGGTCCTTGAAGATCAATATGAAAGAAGCCAGTTCGTCTTCCATGTCGATGGTTAAGCTCATTTCCCCAGCCGCTGATGAGGCGGTGACGTTCTTGATGTGCCGCACGTAGATTCTTCCCTTGAGGCGAAGGACGCCCTTCGACTGGCCCATCGTGGATGGGATGCTGCCTGTATCGGTCAGGCCAGATGCATTTGATAGTAATCTCCCAAGACCCCGCTTCTTCTCCTCAACCACGCATATAATCGCCTCCTTGAATAGATAGACGTAGAATTCGCGGATAGCCGACTCGCGGCGTACGGAGAGGAGATCGTACATCTGTAGTGGACCCAAATCAGAGAGTGGATGGCCCTTCCAATCAATGATGCGATTTCTGAGGTCCTCTGTGATGGCAGTGAACGGTGAATCCTCCTCAGAGTGGATGAGTGTGTTGGGGCCATAGTTTGCAGAGTCATGTCCGTTCGAGGACGAGGGCCCGCCAAATTGGTCACTGTGGGGGGTAGACAGTTGCCTGCCCTGGTAGACGGGGGGCTCCTCGTGCTGCGTCCTTCTCTGGCGCATCATCTGGTCCGGCTGGGGACTTGAATGCCCAGAACCAGAATGGTGGCTGTGGGCACCGTTCCCATTCCTGCCATAATTATCGGGGATGACAGGGCCGGGGACACTGCCTGCTGCTCGCTTGCCGGGCAACTCGATGACGACTATGCATGTTAGCGGCTGGTTGACGTCGTTGGTGCGTGTGAGGGAGGAGAACTCGGGGCGGACTTGAATGGAGGGCGCAACGATGTACTGGTGGTGGTCCGAGGGACCGCCTGATTTTACGGAGCCTGTGTGGTCGAGGGGGTCGTCTTCTGTTGGATCGTATGGCCGCGGTGGGTTGCGCCCACGAGCTGTGGGGGTGTCGCGGCCGGGGTAGAGCGGTGCGGCGCGACTGTCGCCCATGCCGGTGAGCGATGCGAGCTCTGATCGCCATTGAGCTGCGGGAGAAAAAGAATGGACAATGGGACGCACTGTTGGACTTTCCACTGTCTCCATCACCGACCTTCATCGGTCTCCTGCAGACCCCACAGACTCCGAGATTCGATTTCCTGGGTGCATTGCGGCCCTGGTGCTGGTTTGGGGGAGGGCCATAGACGGCGGTGAAGCAGGCCTGCGGAGAGATGAGTGAGAGCTAACTAGAACGGAAAAGACTGACCTCATGGAGGGCATGGCCGCACTCTGGAACGATGTGGGGCTTTTCGCCGGGGAGCCTGAAGGAGAAGCTGAGAGGCTCGAGGCAGACGGGGCACTCTTCGTCGTCGTCGGGGGTGTTGTGGGTGGATACGACTGGGAGGGGCGGCATGTGGATGGCGGAGTAGGGATGGGTGGAGTGATTGTCGCTGGAGGTGGTAGTGGTAGAAGCGGAGTAGGCGGAGTGGATGGAGGGCGGCTTCGGCTTGCGGAATACGGAGGAAAAGCCGGCTCTGAATGCCGCCTTTGAGGGGCTGGGTTGGGCGTTGGGCGGCTGGGGGGCAAGACGGGGGCTTGTGTAGGTGGGGGTGAGGGGCTCTGGGGGAACGGGGCTGTCGCGGTGATGGGATCGGAGAATCCAGCTGCTGCCCGAGTTGACAGATTTCATGAACAGGGCGCTCGCAGTGAGCAGGGCGCGGGCACAGTGCAGACAGAGGAGACCTATCAGACCCCCCCCTTTCCCACAGACCCAAAGGTACAAACACGCCCACGCTTTTTCCTCGACAACACATGACCACGCCCCTCTCGCTAGAACACACCATCAGGCTCTGCTCAGTCCTGATATCCTTCCTCCTTCTTCTCGTCTTCCTCACCACAACGTCGCCACTCTTCTTGCGGACGCCGGCGACTCAAATCCAACTCAGCGATCGACCAAGACCCCCCATTTCAACCCTCACCCCTGTTCGCTACATTTTCCTCGAGAATGGATCGCGCCACATCAGGGAATTTGCTCGCCGGCGAGCATTTAGGAGGGTCTCCTCGCGGCTTGGCGCTCTTGTCCGTGAGGTGATCGCTGACCATAAAACCCAGCGATAAAAGTAGCCCAAACCTCCATATTCCCGCTCTGTATCAGATACATTACCACCATCTCTCTGCCACACACCAGCTCGGGTGGGGCTCAACAACATTATTGAGCCGCTGTATACCGTAACACCCATGCGTATCTGACTTCACGGTACCAGAGCCTGTCGAAGGCTTCGCAACATATCTATTCCATGACAGCTCGGTGCAATTTGTTGCAACGCTAACACAGACAGCGGTCTACTATGCCATAGTTAGGTCCATCCTGTACTACTCGAGTTTACCTTATTCTCCATATGTCAAGAAACGTTACGACATACCGCAAGTTCTGAAAAAGAGGGTCCCGAAAATAAATGGTCTCCTTGTACTTCGCTCCCCCGAGTCGAGCCCGTCTTTAGGCTTCTAGCTCAAATGGTCGTTGCAGGAATACCCGAATTCAAAGAAGCGCCCGTCGCAGACCCTTCCCAATTATCTCGACCCTCTCTCTTCGGAATGAATTTTCATTTAAATATTAATGACAACGACGTGCGCCATTATCCCGGCGTCTATCGTCCACAGTCCTTTGTGCTCGACATGCTTTGTAACAGCCTGCCATTGTCAGTCGGCTATAAAGTGCTCGGACGCGGAGCGACTGCGGCCCCGCGCGGGTACTAATTAACCATTAACGCATTAACGTTGATAACCATTAACTGGTACTGGCATTAAATAATGATTTGAAGGGAGGTCCGGACCCACGAGGCAGGCTAGCTAAGAGCGAAAGGTGAAGTTTGCAGGGTGAAAGTGATAATTAAAACGGAACGCGTCGTGTCACCGTGAAGGGAGGCGCCTGACTAGCATTGGGGGGCTGCCGCGTCACCAAGTGATCATGATAAATATGACGCGCGCCGCGAGGTTGACAGAAAGCGCCCGTGCACTGCATAGACTGTAGGCGAGTCACAAGGATCCTCTGCCATTCCTATAGGGGACAAATGCAACGGACGAGCTAGCGGTGCTCCCTTTATCACGACCACGAGGCGCAGGCGCTGCGAGTCCTGCCACAGCAGTCCTGGATGAAGGAATTGCCTTGTAAGACGTTACGGACATCCCGGAGACAGCCGACAGTGAGCTCCACAACAGCTCGTCAAAGGGCCGACGAGGCGAGGCCGACGGTGTAGAAAGCACAGCACGAGCTGGAATGAAGTCCAGTTAAATTTACGAGCAGCGTGCGAAAATATACCCCTTCAGTAGCGTACTTGCGAAGGCACCTCTACACCCAGAATAACCAAGGCCTGTCTGAGCAGCAGCAAGAGAATTCCATCTACCTTGTGTTCGGCGCATTCGGAGTTGAGTGGCTGTTCTTCACATGTGTAGCTGAGCTTGATCCCTTGCTTCCTAGGCGGAGTTGAGCATTTATTGAGTGGCGGTCGTAACATCGGCCGCATCGGACGGGTATCTAATTGACCAGAGCGCAGCAATAATAATAATAATAGCAAGCACCTGGCTGAGCCCGAGACCGATTGTTGGCGCGGGGAGTCATCCAGTCAAGCATTGGACAGCTGTTGGTTTGTTGGCGATTTGTTGGAAAGGAAAGGCATCGTGGTGAAATGGATGAACAGTCGTTTTCGGCGAAATCGGGTAGACGCCAACCTCGCCACTGATTTCAGAAGTCCGACGTGAGATCAAGAGCAACAGCAACTTCGAGGACCTGAAGGCCTGAAGCCTGAGGCCTGTCGAAGATATCTTTAAGTTCCCGCTATCCTTCAAGTTCGAACAACACATCAGTGAAACCCAAACCCAGCACAAAAGAAATCCAGCAAATCCTCCATAGCTGGTTCCTTCTCCAACACGCCTAAAAACATCCTGGGGGGTCCATGACGTGCACCCGACCTCAGGAACCTTCCCTTCCTATGTCAGTGATGCAGGAGTTTGACGGGGTGATGTGCTTTGAGGTAGTCATCACCAGGGTGATGAGAACCAACCTGAGAATCTGTGAACTTACCTGTGTAAGTAGCTGGCAGAGACAGACGACATGAGATATTTAAAGTGGACGGTGGACCGGGACAAGGCCATCCGATAGCTTGTGGGCCGAAGGCGAAGTTGGATGACATGGGGAGCCTTTGGTTGATGAGGTAGGCATCAGAGATTTTGAAGATCGATTGATGTCGATACTGGAATCACTTGTACATAGTGAGACAGCAGGACAAGGAGAGGATAGGGGGAGACCGGTGATGTCAAAGAGACACGTATGAATAATGAGACTATCGATGCTGGAAAGGTACAGAGATAGATAAGCCGAAGAGAGGATATGGAGGGGTACGATAAGTGTCATGGACCTTTGAAGCGTCAAAACGCGTCAAATGTCGGTGTTCCTCTGTGTTCCTTGATTTTCCTCGAAGTGGGGTTTGATGATAATAAGGGCCGTCAGGCATGCCGCAACGAACAAAAGATCTGCTTTCTGGAGAGAAAAGGCGCAGGTCTAAAACCCTGCTCCTGGATCGCTATTGGAGGACACTGGGATCCAAATCCAGAAGATACCTAATCTGAGGTGGACAGGAGGTGGCACTGAGCAGAGTCCTTGCAGCACCCTAGCACGTCAGTCTGCCCTTTGCTGTTGTCTCACTTCCAAACTGAATCGTCGTCGTCCAGACCTTCTAATTGCGCCCCAAGCCCAGCTGATTCTCCCAAGTCTTGACAAGCCCCGTGGATCCAGATGGCATCCGCTACAGCGCAGGAGAATCCAGATGGCTCCCAGCGAGCGGCATGTGAGCGTTCGAGGTGAGAAAACATCGGCGCATATGGCACAATGGATGATGACGACACCATCCAGCAAGAAATGGCTAGATCCGTCCGCGGGCCGATTCCATCCGTCCACTATATCCACGTTGGCGGAGGAGTGAACGTTCTTGACCTCCACCACCACGGAACACTCTACATTTTTTTTCTTGACATCGAGAATATAGTGAAGGAGAAGTATGTCGCCTCAGATTTTGGATAACGCCCTTGGAGCCGTCGGCCACACGCCCCTCGTCCGGCTGGACAAGATCGCACAGGCGAATGGGCTCAAGTGCAATCTCCGTACGTCCGTGCGCGTAAGAAATTTTGCTCTCGACTCACCGGGTGTTTTTTTTCCTTCAGTGGGCAAAGTCGAGTTCATGTCAGTCGGCGGCTCCGTCAAGGACCGCATTGCAAAGGCTATGGTAGAGGCAGCGGAGCAAGAGGGGAAGCTCGTACCCGGCAAGAGCGTCGTCATTGAACCCACGTCGGGCAACACTGGTGCGTCACTCCTCGTCTGCCCTTGACTTGTACCAACTTGTTGTAGGTATTGGCCTGGCGATGGCGTGTGCGATCAAGGTAACGCGCGACCTGGATGGGATTGTGAACAAATACTGAATACTATAGATAAGGGTTATTCGGTCATCATAACCCTGCCTAACAAGATGTCGTTGGTGAGTCTCCTTTTCTCTCTCATTCCTTCTCCCTCGAGACTCATTTCGCCACCTTGTGAACAACAGGAGAAAGAAGCCCTCCTCCGTGCACTCGGGGCCGAAGTCATCCGCACGCCCACGGAGGCTGCTTGGGACTCGTCAGAGAGCCACATAGGTAGAGCCCACCACCACTTCACTGGCACTCTCGTGGCTGAATTCCTTAACGATCGCAGGGGTGGCAAACAGGCTGCAGCGTGAAATCCCGCATGGAATCATTCTGGACCAGTATCGCAACGTACGCCGCTCGTACTTTTTTCGAGCTCATAGGGCTGAGTTGAATACACCAGGTAAATAACCCATTGGCGCACGAGCTGACGACCGGCCCTGAGATTATCGAGGCGGTCGTGTCCACACCATCGACGTCGGCAAAACCCTCCTCGCAAAGGGTTGACGTCATGGTCGCAGGTGCAGGGACTGGAGGAACTGTCACAGGAATCTCAAGGGCTATCAAGAAGACCCACAACCAAGATTGCATCGTCGTCGGTGTCGATCCTGTACGCATGTCCTCCTTTCCTTCTACGCATTCACATTTCTTACAAACACCCCTATTTCTCGCCTTTTAGAAAGGGAGCATCCTCGCCATCCCAGAGTCCCTCAACGAAGCAGACACCGGCGCGCAATACGTCGTCGAGGGCATCGGTTACGACTTTATCCCGGACGTGCTCAACCGCGCCGACGTCGACGTGTGGCTGAAGTCGGATGATGAGGAGTCCTTCGCGGCTGTGCAGACGCTCATGCGAGCCGAAGGCCTGCTCGTTGGCGGAAGCAGCGGTAGTGCGCTCGCGTGTGCATTGCAGTGGTTGAAGAGCGATGAGGGCAAGCAGGTGGCGAGCACGGAGGGAAAGAATGTGGTAGTGCTTTTGCCTGATGGGTAAGTCTGTGGAAGCGTATGGTGACATTCGTGAGTGGAACTGATGTTTTCCCTTGGAAATAGAATTAGGAATTACATGAGCAAGCCGTGGTTCCTGAACATTGCCATGCAGGCTGAACCCTCGCCGCTGGCTGGCGCGATCGCACAGATCTTGCGGAAGGAGGCTGCTGCTACACCGACGGCACCGGTCACGAAAGCACAGGAGACACAACCCGAGGGGTCTTCGACATCTACCGACGCCCCCGACGCCCCTCCGAATCTGACACGGACCCCGCGTCAGGTGCGAGCTCTTAGGCTCGGAGGGTTTGGTGGTAAATGAATATTTGCAGGAAGGGAAGGCAAGCTACGAGGCGGAGTAGTTTTTGAACGTCAACATAGAAATTTTCTTTACCCCTCCTTCTGAAACTAAATTGTATTTTTCGCTTTCTCTATATGAGCCCAGATGGTCCCCGTGAAGATGAGATGACGGCATCGAGCTCCCAGGGTAGTTGGCAAAGATATTCTACTGTACTCGAGCATTCGAGGAAAACCCCTCAATCTGAACAACTGACTGGTCCCCGTCAAATTCGGCCTCCAACACACTGAGTAATCTAGGATGACTCGGAGGATGCTTTCAAGATAGAAGACGCAGGCATCACCTGGCGTCATCCAAATAGTTCGGCAGGAAGCTGTTCTGGTGAAGCGATTGTTTTGATCATCGATTGATCATCGTATGGGGTTCTCATGACGCCCCGGTCGGGGAACTGTTGAGAAAAATCGTTCTGATGCATGCAAAAGAGGCATTAGTACATTCGATTCCGATTTAATACGCAAGATAAATATTCAACCCGATACATGTTACATAAATCTAGGTGAAGGAGTAGGAAGGAGTGAATATGGTAAGCAAGTGCTCTGGCTCCTTGTTCACAAAGGGAAGGGAAATATGCGCCACTTGAAGTCCTTCATCTGGGTTCTCCGCCGCATGGGTGAAAACATCGTCGAAATCCTCGTGTTTGAAGTACTTCGGGTCAAAGAGGGTATTGATAGCCAGGGCTGGAGGCGACTTGGTATAATCCACGTCAACAACAATCATGCCCAATCGGGTGCTCTCCTTGGACATCATGAAAGCGTGTAGCATCCGAGAGAATTCCTTGGTGCGTAAAAGGTGTGATACATGAGCCTTTATGAAGGCCCTCGCGCGCTCATCCACTGGGAGCACATTACCTGCCACGGATCAGAAACAAAAAAACAGACGAGAAAAAGAAGATATAGGTTTTACCCTTTCTTTCTGCCGTTGTATCCCTCCTACAATCTTCCCGGTGTTCACCCCAGTCCGCCTTTTGACATGTTCGCGAACAATAGAAGGCCCTTAGGCACCTCCTGCACTGATGAGTGCCAATATCATCTCCTGTACACTGTGGCAAAGTAGTCAGAACATGGGATCGAGGAACAACAGACGCCTTCCTTACTTCGGAATAACTGCAAGAACTGAAGTGTCCACCTGCGGCTTTGAGAGTTTTCCAGAAGCTTTCCATTTCGTCCAGATGGTGCATGAATTTAATCCACGATTCACGAATGACACCGCTTGAGGGTCGAAATATTAATATAGGCTCTATCTCTCCACCCCTCTTGCGCAAGAAAGGGACGGATTTCATCGTACACCGAAGCACCTCAGGATGGATGAGATTCGTGCTGAGGTGGAAGTAAATTTCCTTCATCCTTTGAGGAACTCCAGGGTCCTCGGCACATATGGCGTCAATGTGAGGTGAGCTCCTCAACATTAGGTGAACAAGGTGCGCCTTAATCGCCTGGGGGATCCATGCATGTGAGTCGGGGAAAGATGCTAGAACGGCGTGCATCAAGGAGGGGTAAAACTTCACATATGCCTCTCTGCCGTTATCAGTCGCATGCCGTGATAGCTGTTTCCTGAAGCCATGCACCATCCAATACAGGCTCTTGTTCGCAAGGAACAAGAAACAAAATGGTGGGGAACAAGCAGTGATAAATTGAACGAACCGGAAGCAGGTGCTCCAATTGTCGTGGCCAGCCGTCCCAAAACTGGGCCCTGCAACGCGCGCAATGACACGGTGGTAACACTTGAGGACGAATTCTTCTGGAAAACTTTTCACTGTTTGTTGAAACAGGTAGTCAACCTGGCCCCTGAGGCCATTGGGAGTTATTAGATCCAGGACGTCCCCGACGCGGTCCTCCACGAGTATCCTTGGACTATACGAAGATCGGACTTTGACCCACATATGAATCTGAGCTGACCGGAAATCGGGCTTCTGGAGATCATGGACGAAGTCCCTGTTCAAGGCAAATTCGTAGACGACAAGGCAAACCCAGCCAATAAGGTCCCAAATGCCGTGTTCGCCAGCAGGAGTAAAGTAGCTCTCGAGTTCGGCGGCGCTTTTCGATAATGTAAGGTCGAAAAACTTGAGAATCCATCTTCTAAATATCGGCCATGAGCCCATCAACGCTTTTTTGTTTTTGGCGTGAAGTAGGATGCGGTTTCTGGCGAGCCGGAACGACTCTGAGAGCGTGATGAAGCCCGCAGGAGGGTTTGTAGTTGTTCTGGGCCGAAAACTTCCTCTTCTGTAGGGGGCGTGCTCAAGAGACCGCAGACTGCAGTAAGAAGAGTAGGAAATGTTGAAGCATTTGCATTAACGTGTGTGCCCAACGCGTCGAAGGATGTAACGGTGCTATTGCCAGACGAGTGCTGCAAAGAGAAAGCCGCAATTCGATATTTCTACCAAGAACATAGGTCCGTGTTACTCACCAGAAGGTTGTTGGTAATGACCCTCGGCGTTGTCACGTCGCTGGCCATCATGCTGGGTAATGAACAAGTACTACTAGTATGGGGAGAAGGTCGAAAGCGATCTTTCTTGCATAGGGGTCGAGATGATTTCGGATCAAGGAGCTCAAGCTCAAGCGTCAACTTGACTGTGACGGAGGTGCAAATGCCCAGTCTTCGTACCTATCTCATATCTACAGTGTGGACGTCATGAAGGTGCATAAGGCGCAAACTGCTGAAAGCTCATCGGTGTCCGCGGCCAGCTCCGAACCCTTTTATTTAACTCCAAGATTTTTTGAGACAGAGAGTGTCAGGTTTCAGGTTATACTTACCCTGCTAAGTACTTAGAGTAAAGCACTTCGAGCCATTCAGCATCTAGTCTACAAAATCCTCATGATCATACAGTACGGTCAACATGCTCTCTGGCTTGTCATGAATGAAAGGGACGGAAATGTGTGCCACTTTCCCTTCGCCCGGATTCTCCGACGCATCAGTGATTATACTCTCAAAGTTGTCGTACCCGCTGTATTTGAGAGCACTTTTCACAGATAGCGTCGGAGGCAACTTGGTGTAATCCAGGTCTGCGACGATCATGTGCGATGGAGTCCTGGGGTTGGCCATCTGGTAGGCATGCGCCATCTGAGTGAAGTTCCTCGTTTTTAAAAGGTACGAAGCATGGGCCTCTATGAAGGTCGTCGAGCGTTCATCGGCTTCGAGCACCTTACCTGTTACGGTTCAGAAAATAGGGGATGGTAAGAGGATAGAGGCATACCCTTGCTCTTTGCTGTCGTATTTCTTTCGCACTCTTCCCGATGCTCCACCCAGTCTGCCTTCTGACACGCCCGAGAGCAGTAGAAAGCTCGCTGACATCTGCTGCACTGATGTATTCCAGCAGTGTCTCCTTCACACTGGAACAAAGATGTCAGAACATGAGACAGAAAGACCAGTCTTCGCTTCTGAATTATTACAAAAACTGTAACATGCGCCCTCGTCCTGGAGATCTTTCCAGAATTCTTCCATTGTGTCCAGGTGTCGCAAGAATTTGATCCAGTATTCGCGAATAATACCATCAAATGCAGATTCTATATTGTCAAACTTCTTTCGGAGGTAGCGCATAGCTTTCATTGTACATCGTAACACTTCCTGGTGGATAAGGTTTGTGCCAAGATGGAAGTAGACCTCCTTCATCCTTTCAGGGACATCGGGGTCTTTGGCACATATAGCGTTAAGGTGTCGTGAACTCTTCAACATCAAGGGGAGCAAGTGTGCTTTGATTGCCTGAGGGATCCATGTATGCGAGTCGGAGAAAGACGCTCGAGCGGCGTGCATCAAAGAGGGATAAAACTTGACGTACGCGTCTCTGCCGTTAATAGTTGCATGTCGCGATAGCTGTTTTTTGAAGCCGTGCACCATCCAATATAGACTCTTGTTCGCAAGGAACAGAAAACAAAGGGGAGGGGAATGGGCGATAATGAACGACACAAAACGGAAGCAGATCATCCAGTTGTCGTGGCCTGCCTTCCGATAGTTTGGCCCTGTCACGCGAGCGATGACACGATGGTAGCACTTGAGGACGAACTCTTCCGGAAAGCTCTCCACGACCTGCTCAAATAACTGGTTATTCGGATTCCAGATAAAGTTTGGGGTTATAAGGTCCATGACGTCCCCGATGCGGTCCTCCGCGAGGATCCTCGGGGTGGAACAAGATCGCACTTTGACCCACAAACGAATGTGCGCAGCCCGGAAGTCTGGTCTCTGCATATCCTTGACAAGCTCCTCATTCAGGGCCAATTCATAGTTAACGAGGCAGATCCAACCTATAACGTCCCAAGCGTCGTGGTTGCCAGCGGGAGTGAGGCAACTCTCGAGTTCTAGGACGCTTTTGAAGAACGCAAGCTCGAAAAACTTGAGGATCCATCGTCTAAAGGTCGGCCATGTGTTTATTAGCGCCTTTTTGTTTTTTTGGTGGAGTAGAATGCGATTTCTCGCAAGCCGGAACGACTCCGATAGTGTGACAAAGGCTGCAGAGATCGTCTGCAGCTGCTCTGGGGCAAAAACTTCCTCTTCTGTAGGAGGTGTGCTCACGAGACGGCTGACTGCGGTGAGAAGAGCAGGGAATGTAGAAGCATTTGTGATAGCGTTTGTGCCTAACATATCGAAAGACGTAACGGCGCTATTGCCAGACGAGTGCTGCAAGAAAGGTAAATCTAATTCTAAGTCGACAAGAACACGTGTTCATGCTGCTCACCAGAAGGTCGCTGGCAATGACCCTGGGCGTTGTCACATCGCTAGCCATCATATTGGGCAATGCCTGGCTATAACTAGTATGGGAGAGGTCGAAAATGAGTAGGACGGCGGTCTCCTATCTTGGGATACGGGCTGAGATGCTTTTGGTTCGAGGTCAAGTAACAAGTTACACGGCTGAGCCTTGAGGACAAGGTTCTCAATCAACTTGCCGAGATCACGCGTCGTCATATTTCTGGCTGCCAACTTCAAGTTCAAGGTGTCAGTATGCTTTTGAGTTCGACCCACCGCCTGTATCATAATTGGATTTTTTGAACGCTACGTATATCAGTTAAGTACATTCTTCTTGAATCTACTACTACTTCGAGAGTATTCGATAAATAGATTAGATTTACAACGAGACAGAAATGAACAATGTACTGGGTAAGTAAAATATGGGGTAGATATAACCAGCGAGCACTTCCTGAATTAAAGGCTCTCTTTCTCAAGACTACCCATCCGACTGTTGATTAGGCAGTCAGAGTTCGTCGATATTGGCGCATCACCAGAACCGATTGCAGCATGGATGCATTAAAGCACTGCTCGGGCAGAAAGTGGCCGTTGAGAGAAGTGTAAAGAAAAAAAGGGTCGAACTAACAACAGACGTTTGTGAGTAGAAGAAAATATATTGCGTCGTGAATGCATGTCGGATCGGATACTGGGGGGCATCGGAGTCTGGTGGTGGTTGAGAAGAAAGATGAAATTTTGCTGTGTGATCTTCCAAACAAAGTGCCAAACGTCGCGTCTCGGCATCGCGGCATGCGAGTCAGTGGCTTTTGCTCAAAGGACATTTTAGGTTGAGATTCGTTCTCTGACATAGGCGCCTGCCCTCTCCTGCCCTTCATGATGTTCGAGATCCTCTGATCGTTTGCTTTCGACGTGCTCTCATCTGCTCTGATTCTGTATCCATAGTTTCCATTCGCTTTGCAACTGCAGTAAGTGGGCTTCGTGGCCTCTTCTCGGCGCCCTTCACTGACCCCTGTCGATCTCTCAGCCTGATATCTCGGATTCTACCTTACCGACACGCAAAATGACTAATTTGAACGATGTTCTCGACGGTCTCCGAAGCACCAAAGTTAAGGAGCGTGCTGAAGGCCTTAAAGGCATCACCGATGCGTTCTCTCGTGAAAGAGCCATCGCCAACTTCCACATAAACAGGAACGGCGACCTCAACCTCAAGGTGTGGTGCACGGTATTCGATGCACTATTCCGCTGCTACGCGCTCGAGCGCGACGCCGTCATGAAGAAGCTCACTTCCAAGGCGAGACACGCGGTAGACAAGGAACCCGTCGACCCTTCCACTTCCCCTGGCGTCAAGAATTTTCAGGAGACAGTTCGCGTTATCCGGTGGCTCATCGAGCGTACGGTGGAGGTCAACGTGAAAGCGGCGGATAATATCTTCAACCACCTCTTGGGCTCAATCCGTTGCGCGGGCATTCTGTTCCCGATTGTTGCCCCGCAATACGCGAAGGCCTTGAGGTGTTTGCTCGAGCATCGACCACTTCTCCAGCATGTAAAGCCTGAACACTGGACCAGGATGGTCAGAGTTGGGTTCAACATAGTTCTTGGACGCCCTGTCAACGCGGTCCAAGATGACGCGCTAAGTCCTGTCGGTGCTGAAATTGATTCCGATATGTATGCGGACGATAGTCCGGGGGACGAGGAAGAGTCGACTGCAGCTTTGAATAAGGGAAGAAAGCGCACGCCTACAGCTGCCATCTCCCCCATCAAGCCCAGAAAAAGGTCAAGACGCAGCCCCATCCTTTCTGTATCTGTCGAGCAAATCGAATTCGTCTCTATCCTTCGCCTTTTGATCGGTTCTTCGACAGCCCCCATCATTCACTCCGATAAGGAATATGCAGCAATTCCTATGCGCATTCTATCCTTCCTGGAGCAATTTCTCGAGAAATATCCCTCCGATTCATCTCTCCTGCAAGACTACATACAGATCCTCGCGTCGACCCTCAAGCAGTTGTCCTTAAATCGGAAAGACGATGTTGAGAGGTTCGCTAGGTCGAATTGGAATGGCCTGATAGGTTTGTGGGCTACCAAGGACAAACGCTTGAAGGAAGGGCTGTTGGTTGTCTTGCGGCACCTTTTCCCATTCTTTGTCTGCCCTGTTGACTTGGAGCATCCGACCCCCTTTGCTGGATGTCTAGAAGGTGTTAGTCGGCTTTGGCATTTGCTGAATGGAGAGGCAGAGAATAGATGGGGTGTGGATGGCTTATCTCTTGAAACCCTTAGGTTGGAGATCAAAGGGAAATCCCCCAGTGCGATTCGAGAAAGCGCCTTCGTCGCCAATACTTTCCGTGCTGGGTGGGGTTTCGATGCGGGCCAAGCTTTGTCTTGGGCAATGTTAGAACTGCAAGCAGACTGCGCTAGCCAGGTGAGCCTTATCACGCTCGGTCGTTCTGAAATAGTTTACCCTCAATGTTCAGCTATTCCAACTCTCCGAACAAATGCAACCGACTCCTATTCCCGAGTCCGCTCTTACTCAATCGAAGCGCCGCAAACTTGACAACCCAGTGACAACCCTACTTCATGCTATTCAAGCGAGCAGCGCTCCTCACGTCCGCGCCCTTCATTTACAAACACTACTTTTCTTCATTGATCGACATTGGGATCTGGTCCACGATTCCCTCAAGCAAGACATCGTCAACGTCCTTCTTCAGTTCGTCGGATACGATGACGCAGCAATTCAATCCTGGGTCTTCCTCAATTTCGCGGCCATTTCCTACGCAGAAGGGATGTCAGAACAGTTACACGCACAGGACGCTCCTGCTGCCCTAGACCACAGCATTTGGGATTCAATTTGGGCGCATGCCATTCGCAGGTCAAACGTTCCTGGTATTTGTCGAGCGGCCTGTCATACAGGATATGCTCTTCTCGTTTCATCGCGGTCTTACTCCAAAGATTCAAACGTTCTCGTGACCTTTCACAAGGTTCTGTTGGAGATTGAAGCATTGTTCAAAGATATGGACGTTCAAGGACCAACCTACCCCTTCGATTCGGTCTGCATCTTCCTTTCCAAGTGCTTGGGCATCGCCAGCCAGGATGTCCGACTGTATAGGATGCATCTCGAAGACAAGGTTCTTGCATGGTTCGTGGACAACTGGAAGACGGGTGGCAACCACATGAAGATGGATCCATGCACAATCGACGACATTCTGCTTTTATTACAAACTACATGTAGCTTGACAAAGCAAGTTAACGTCGCAGTTGACATCCCGCTGCCCTCTTCTAGCATCGTCGACAGCATTAAGGAGGAGAATAAGGTCAAAATTATTCGGGATTTTCTGCTCTATGCGAAGCTTCCGCCCTCAAGATCATCTATCGGTTGTGACAAGCCACATACGGGAACCACCAAACCTCTGGTTACAACAAGTCCTTCACAATTGGTGGCACCTCGTGCTAGAGAGCGGAAGATTTCGTCTTTCCTCCAACGAACCCTCGATTCGCTTCTTGGTGAATGGGAATATTTGAAGGATAATCATCCAACTGCAGAAACCGCTCGCCGTTCATTGGATATTGCAGTGATAGCGCTAGCTTTCGAATCGTTGCTGATCTTCAACGGAACGTCTGCCAACAGACAGGTCCTCCAAACAGCAGCGAAGAATATTCTGCTGCTGACGCCTCTCCTGAAGGACTCGAGATGGACGGCGTCTGAGAAAATGCTCGTTGCTCAGGGATTCGAAGTATTAGTCCCTCCTGCAGAATATCCCCCGAAGAACGTCTTCTCTGAGGCCTTGACTCAACCTGGCCCTCTTTCTGGGATCAAAGAACGGACACTGCAGGCTCTGGCGGTTAACGATGTTGCTGGGGAACAAGTCAAGGCAGATCGCACAGTCTGGCTCAGACTGATGTGGCAAAATGCTGATGTGCGTTGACGTATCATCTCCCCTTCATGAATGCTGAAACACCTTTCAGATACAAGTTGCAATGATACCAATTGCAAATGTTCTCAGATCCCTACTGGGGAGAATGTTAGGCGAGACCGCATCCCATCTCTCTTCAGAGCCTACCGATATGGAGGACGATTTCGGGCCCATACGAACCACGAATCCGCAGAATTCGGCCGGTGCACGTAAAGGCGACAGAGAACAATCCATAAAGCATCTCATGCAAATTTGTATCAACTTCCTCACCTCTGGCCCGTTCCTTCAGTCTTCTTCCGGAGAGCCCGCTCGTGATCGAGAACTGGTGTCAACTGTTCTCCGAAGTGGGCAGGATGCGGACAAATTTCTTACCGTATGCCCAATCTTTCTACACCATGTTCGTCTCGGGACCATCGGTCTTCCTTTCAAGGATTTGAACGAAATCATGGACATATTCGGGAGCTTGATGGGACAATATCGATATTCTCGCAGTCAAGAGTTTCTTCAAATTCTTCTCGACGTCGTGCAATCGACGTTGGGAATATGGCAACACAACGACCCCACAGCGCAGGACGTGCATTTTAAGTTCCAAAACTTCTGTCATCACTTTGCCAGGTGTCTCCAAACGGGGAATCTTCCCTCATGGAGACTGCGTGATTCCGTGGCCTTTTTTTTGGGAAGTTATCTTTCTGTAGATCCCAGTCGGGCGTTCTGGGGCGAACCCATTGAACCAAAAAAGAAATACGAGGAAGAAAACGAAGAGCCACTAGCAAGGCTTCCCGAAGAGCTACTCCGGCTCTTGAACAACGACCCAGATATGAGAGTCCGTTTCCGCGTCGCCGCCATGAATGCTTCACTCTTTTCAATCACCCGGCAGCTGGAAAAAACTCCTGTGGAGTTAAATACATGGTTGAAAAAATCATACTCGGTGGATGCTGACCAGTAAGTTCTATGCTACAACTCTTCTGCACTCTCATTCATCTTCTTGACTCAACAGATGGGAACACATGTTGAGTCGCATGCTCGCTGTCGGGAGCATTATGGTCGTCAGCTCCGAGGTCCGACGCGGTGTCTATTGGAACCTCCTGGAGGCGTGCAACACCAAACTTTTGTATTCTGGGCACACTGGAGTTGTTTTGGAAGCCATCGCTGAGACGCTCGGAATGCCCAATTTATCGTCACTTTTCGAAGAATACGCAGCCCAGCTCGCGTATGCCTTCGCTACAAACAGCACATCTCCGCTTCTGGCACTTCCGCCCCGTCTCCTGGGATATCAAAACAGAAAGCAAGCTGCTCAAGCTACTCTGAGGTTGCTTACTCCGACCAACATCATGGAGGAGAATGGTGCGCCACATTTCGAAATGCACCGCAACATTCTACAGATAAGTGTTCCGGATGCCTTGCGAGAGTGCTTCGACGAGATCGTTGCTCGTTGCATTACGACTTCAATATGTTTTGGCGACGATATAGGATCAATGCTCAACGAGAAACTGTCTTTATTGCCGGATTTCAGCAACCTGCTGGAAGAGCGCATTGATGGTATCATAGTGTCTCTCCTCCGATGCCATGGGGATCAAGACATATCCGATGATGGCCCAATAATGTCTGCGTTGCGGTCGCTCGATACGACTGGGGAAATTGTTCTTGCCTTTCGATCTCTTACTGTCTACCGTGCTGCGGACAGCTTTGTCCCTCATGCTCCAAACCTCCCAAATATCTCAACATCCATTATTCTTCAGGGTCTCATTTGGCTTCAAAACCGTTATCCCCGTGGCTTTACCAAAGCCACAACGTACAACGTTTTGCATCAGCTCTTGCATACTCTCCAGAAGACGCTGTTGGTCAATGAGCAATTCCGACTCCTCAATGCAGTATCACTGTGGATTGCATACCGACATGAAGACTTCCTGGACCCTGCCATGCTCTATACACTCACACACGGCTCAACTCTCCTCCTTTCGCAATCAGATCTTGCTCGTTCAGCGCAATCCTTCCTAACGTGGTCACTTCGTTATTACCGAAAAGGCTCTGTCAAGGATATCCGTCTGCCTAATATTTTGCTCCGTATTTGTTGTATCGCCCACAGGTACTCGTCCGACACAACGAGCGTCTCTGTGTCCCAGCTGGGCAAGCAGCTGAGGCAATGGATTGAGGGACGACTCCTTGATCTAACCAAATCACCAGCACTGAGGGACACTGTCTCTCAAGCTCTGGCAGCATGGCCGTATGCTCCCGAGTCCAACTTGTCTTCACTCTACGACCAGGTCACCAGCTTCGATATCCGCAAGGCCCTTGAAGACCACCGCATCACTTCCAATAAATTTCGTCTTGTTCGTAGCCTGAAGGAACACACAGTCGTATCCCAAGAAGCAGGTTATCATAACACTGACTTCTGGCAATTGAAAGCTTGCATCCCCCCTCCTGATGCTGTACAAGACGAAGATGTCCATGCTTTCGTGAAATTCCTATCGTCGAGCTGTGGACAAATCGGTACTTTTCCAGTTGACTCTCCTATCCCTGCCTCGTCCTGTAACCGGCAACGATTCATGACGAGACCCCGAAAGGATCGTCCCGCTGATGTTGACCCCATCTTCGCGGGGAAGAATGCGATCGTACACACTTTGTTCACGATACTTGAAGGCCAAGAGTCGACCCAGGTTTCAAGTGCATACAACACTCTGCGGCTCATTTCTGGTGTTCTGTCTGTGAAGGAACATCAAGCGAAGTTGCCAATCGAGTACAGTGGGGAATTGGAACTTCTACATGTCCATTGTCCCAGGCCTGTGACATTGCCAGCAACTGACTTGTCAGAATTAATGAAGTCCGACGAACATCTAGAATCCATAACCGATTTCTCTCGATGGATACGCCTCTTTTCTATGTCGGTTGTAGGCGCCCTGGCTCACGTCGATCCTTTCTACGTCCAATTGTCACCCTTTGTGCAGTCTGATGTTCCATTTGCAGAAGATATCCTGCCTGTTCTAGTGCATGCACTCTTGCAGTTCGAGGTCGCCAACAAAACAAAGGGGTTTCAAGCACGGGTGTTACTTTCCAATTATTTCTCCTACATCCTTACTTCTATAACTGTGGACATGTGCTGCCTTCGTGTCATTGTCGACATTGTCCTTCATCTCCGATCCTTCAATCCTCACCCGAATGACGCCCTCGCGTACAACAAATGGCTGAAGGTTGATTTCAGACTCCTGGCTCAAGGTGCAAGGGTCTGTGGAGCCTACACGACTGCCCTACTGTTCCTGGAGCTTGCAGACGAATACAATAACGACGCCACAGAGGCTCAATCGTCGGTGGAACAAGTCCTCTACGACATTTACTCCCACATTGATGAGCCTGATGGATTTTATGGTATCAGCACAAATGACCTCCATCAATTTTTAATCAAGCGGTTTCACCATGAGAAACAATGGGAAAAGGCTTTTCGTTTTCACGGTGCTGCTCTGGAGGCTGATCGATCCCGAGGGGCGGAACAAGAAGGACTGTTGGAGTCTTTCCACTACTTTGGCTTTGATCACCTTGCCATTGATACTTTACGGAACTCTAGTTCTTCTGATCGATATCCCTCCTCGATGAGCTACAAGCTAGGATGGCGCACTGAAACATGGGATTTGCCAGACCAGACATCCGGTGATGCCAGAAGTGCTGCTCTCTATCGTTCTCTGCGTGCCATATATCGTGAACGCGACCCCGTGCTTTTGCAAACTGTCATTCGAACTGCTCTGCGTGAAGAACTGGATCATTTGCGGTCCTTAGGCAATGAGGATCTAGCAGAGATTCGGTCAATTTCACAGGACCTTATGTGTTTGGGCGAGGTTTTGCAGTGGCAACAAGACATTCAGACCCGCTTGAAACGCGAGAGCATGGATCTCAGTGTTTGGCACGATTTCTTCAATATTGACCCCAAATTCGAGTAAGTTGCGTACTCCTTCCTACTGAATGCTCAACTCAACGAGTATCAGCTTTTTCGTTCTCGAGTCCATTATGGCAACACGCATTTCCCTGATCCGATCGGTCCGCCAGCGAGAAGAAAGGCAACAACTGGGCGACCTTACTACTCCATTCCTTCGGAATTTAATTGACGCAGAAAAAAGGTGCCTGCTTCGCCTCTCGGAAGCGGCCAGGTTGTCTGGCCAGGTGCAAGTTGCTCTAAACTCCGTTGTGCGCGCACAGCGACTATGTAACGAGCATTCCTGGGATGTTTCAGAAGAATTTGCCAGTGTTCTATGGCTCCAAAAGGAGGAACGACCTGCAGTACAATTTCTTCAAGAAATTCTACGGAGGACGCCTGCCGATGAAAATTCATTGCAGTTGTCTCGTAGGGCACTCGTACTGTCTCGCTTGGTGAGTGATTTCTTGTTGTTGGATGCTCAGCTTAATCAACAAAGGACAGGGTACCTGGACTGCTGAAGCTTGCTTGGAAAAACCCACCGAGATTTGGGAGCACTATTTCTCTACATCAATCGATCTGCTGGATAGACAAGGTGACGGAAGTGAGAGTCATGTTTCCACCAAAGCCGCCGTCTATCGTGCATGTGCGATGTTTGCAGAGCGTCAGTACCATGCTACATTGGAATCACCAGATGCAATGAGGCGTAAAATCTACGTAGACCGCAAAAAGCAAGAAATCGCGGATCGCCAGAGCTTGTTGGAGAGCCAACGTGACGCGGCCAAATACAAAGTCCTTCAGACCGAGCAAGATAGGGCCCAGAAATTGTTCAACGAAGATAGTGAACTCTTTCGAAAGCACAACATGCTTTTGGAAACTTTCTTGAAGCAGGCCGTTGAGATGCATTCTCGCTATTTGGAAACTTCCGGGGAGCACGATGATGATTCCGCGATTCGGTTCTGTTCCCTGTGGTTTGCCAACTTCGAGGATCAATTCCTGCTCGATACTATTCAAAGTGCTTTGGGGAGGATTCCGTCGATCAAGCTTGTCTTCCTTGCTGTAAGCTCTTCATTGATCCTTTTCCACCTCAAGTGTTCAAAGCCTTTGTTGCAGCACCAATTAACGGCTCGCTTATCCAACCCTCCAATAGCCGAATTGCCCAAGACACAACAGAACCTGCAGAATCTAGTCACACGAATGTGCTTCGAACATCCATTCCATAGCCTTTACCAACTATATTGTCTGGCCGATCAGAATGGTCCAGACAGCAATCGGCGACAATCCGGACGCCATGGCCCAAGTCAATCAACTCAGACGGAACGTGGTACAGCAGCAAACACGATCTTTGACCGCCTCGAGAGCGACCAAGCTTCCAAACTCCGAGTAAGGGAGATTAAAATCCTTTGCGATGCCTGTCTAGAATGGGCGAAGTTCCCAATCGCCAAAAATGAAGCGTTCAAAAGAAAGCAGAACCCTATTCCCTCCCCGCTCAAGATAACCAGGTTATCCAAGTTGAATGTACCTGTGACCACGGCTCGCACGCCACTAGATCCGACTCTTCGATACAACGATTTCATCTCGATCACGGGCTATGTGAAACACTTCTCCACAGCTGGGGGGGTCAACATGCCTAAGATCTGCGTATGCATGGGCTCTGATGGTAAGGGTTATACGCAACTGGTAAGTATTGTTTTTCTTAGACCTCTATCGCATTGTAATATCACCTCGAATAAAGTTCAAAGGAGAGGGCAGTGATGACCTCCGTCAAGATGCGGTCATGGAGCAGGTCTTCGATCTTGTCAACAACGTCCTACGGCGAGATAGGGAGACCCGACGACGTTCATTACGCGTTCGTGGATATATGGTTGTACCTCTTGCCAGCCAAGCAGGTCTCCTTGAGTTTGTTGGTAACACATTCACTTTCCGAGAGTGGTTGCAGAAAGCGCATATAACGTACGGGTTTTTTCTGTTTTATCCACTCTCGGACATTAACTAATCATATGAACTCAGTTATCGCCCGCATGATTTAAAACCCGGGGAGTTCCAAGGTCGCTTGAAGAAAGTGCAAGACGAGTACAAGCACCAACCTGAGAAGCAGCTCGCTGTTTTCCTTGAGTGTCGAAAGAGGTTCAAGCCTGTGATGCGCCATTACTTCACCGAGCAACACAAGACCCCCACTGCCTGGTTCCAGCACCGCTTGAATTACACTCGTAGTGTCGCGACCACGTCGATCGTTGGACACGTCCTCGGTCTCGGAGATCGACATGTGTCAAATATTCTGCTAGATTCATCAACTGGAGAGGTGGTGCACATCGATTTGGGTATTGCTTTCGACCAGGTATGTGTAACCATTCGACCATTGTCATGTTATTTATCTCGCCCCTCCACCTCAGGGCAAACTTCTTCCTGTTCCCGAACGCGTTCCGTTCCGTATGACAGCCGATATCGTCGATGGCATGGGTACCTCTGGTACTGCAGGGGTGTTCCAACGATGCGCAGAAGAAACCCTTCGGGTCCTGCGAAACGAATCGGGTGTTATCATGACAGTCCTGGAGGTCTTCAAACACGACCCCCTTCATCAATGGTTAGTTCATATGTTTTCATACATTGCGTTTCGAGTCTTGTCCTCACCGTGATGTCGATCGGTTGTGTAGGACTGCAAGCGAGATCAAAGTCAAGCAGGCGCAGTCTGACGTGCCTCCAACTCCGAACGACGCGACTCGTTTCAACCAAGGCATCGGCCTTGACATGACGAGCGGGTCTGCGGACGAGGCTGCTGATCGTGCACTAACCTCTGTTGCAAGGAAACTTGATAAAGCCCTCAGTGTGGAGAGCACAGTCAACGAGCTCCTCGCACAGGCGACAGATCCCATGAACCTGGCGACAATTTTTAATGGTATCTAATGCTCTTTTCTGAGAAAGCAACCTGGCTCACTATTTTTCCTGGTAGGGTGGTCCCCACATTTCTAGTTCTTTGCATTGATATACCCACCAAATCCAATGTACGACATTTCTATCGCATTCACGGCCCGCTCATACCTTTTCAGTGGCCGTTTTCTTCATCTGTCTTAAATCTCACCCCGTCATCTCGTATTCCGCGCACCTGTATCAGTAATCGTAGCATATCTCAATTGCATTCATTTTATTTTTTTTGCCTACGGCAGAAACAGTCGATTATTTGGTGCTATTTGGACTTATGGGCCAACTTTCGCTTATTCGTGATAGGGGCGAAGGACTGATGCGCCCAGGCCTTTTATGTTTCGTAAGGCGCAGGGGAAGAGGTAGGAACCTAATCGTCCAGAACCTACTTCAACCCTCCACGACCTGGGCACCGCCATGCCATGCCAGCCGCTTCCATTGACAACCCACTCTCCCATGAGGCTCAGCAACGGTATGTCTTACAAGTATCACTACAGCTGCTCATGGTGCTGTATCAAGGGAGGAAGCATTGACCTGGTTCCAGATTTTATCCCCATCCCCTCAGTGGAAGATTTACTATTGAGATATTATCCGTCTACTACTACACGGAAAGGGCTCACACCTGTGCTGCCGTTCTTTTGAAGACATCATTCTCCTGGCCCCCGGAAGCTAAGTAAATATGCCCCACTTTCGTTTACAATCCTGTCTCATGGCAATTACCGTAGAATATGCTGGATGCCCAATTGTTGTTGAAGCAGAAAACTGCAATGATGGCTCCCTCGAGATTTCGGCGGACCATCCTGCTGCAGGGGTTGAACATGTCCAAGTTACCTACAATAAGGAAGACGTGGGTTCCCTTTCCGGACGCTGCCCCTGATGATGGATCACAGTCTGGCGGTGTGTCAGATAGGCACCAAGATTGCGTGATCTCTTTGAGAGCGGCGACTGTCGATCAGGAGCCAGCTAGCCAACCTCGTAATGCCTATTAGTTGCGAAGAATTATGGCTGAGTTGTACACGACTCAAAGGAGAGGCCTCACGTACCATGTAATCCGAGACAATATTCAAACAATATTAGAAGTTTCTACCCAGATACGGTGTTGGTCATGTCGGTGGTTACAAAGCCGCACCACAGTCAACCATTGTTCAAATTCCGGCTTCGACAGACTACGGACTTGAAAATCGACGCTTACGAGTCTGGTATTCGTGCACTCTTCGTGCCGGTGAGAAGTTTCCGTCTTGCTAGTGGTAGTTGGTTTTTCGAGATAGAGGGACAGTCCAAGCCAAATGAAGCCAAGAACTCTCTACGACGATAGAGAGCCAACTGTTGGACTTAAAGCTGCTGCCAGATCAGTGACTGAGGCCGTACAGCTTCCGTAAGCTCATTTCTGCTAAATCTCGCTCGCGTTTCTGATAAACCCCTACTGCGGGTTCAGGGAGGCACAAACCAGCTTCAAGACCTAAGTCTCCCAGCGTTTGTACGTCAAAATTAGCGTCACGAAATTCTTTTTCTTTTGAATTTAATTGCCGATATGATATTACACCGCTTGGACCGGTGTTGTATAATTTCCGATGTTCTCTATTTTATTCTTACGGTCAGCGCCGTTGCGAGATGTTATACAGCGTCCGATGCACTCTGTTTCATTCATATCATACGGTTCGGCCGCGTTGATCATCAGTAGTAGCCAGGAATAATACTCTACGTAGTGTCCATATACGAATTCCATTCAGGATTCTTCTTCGTAAGACATTGGTTCGGAAGGCCAGGCAATAGTTCGTTAAATTCGTCTGTGAGGACAGGAAGTCGATTAGAGAGTCCCAAAGGTAACTGCCAAGGAGAAACATACGATATCGTGTCATTAACTAATGGCAGGCGCCCGAGTTCGGCGCCCTGCCACTGTTCAAGCCTCATCAGGTGGAGACGCACCAGGCGTCGACGAATGAGAGTCTTTAAACTCCTGGCGGAGATCGCTAGAGCACCGTTTCCGATGCAACCTGAACGCGGAATGGGTTGGTAGAGACCTAGACTCGGAAGTGGCGCACGGTGGCGCAAGCGTCGTCGTTTCAGAGCTCGGCGAAGATGATGAGTCCGGTGAAGAAAGCGAGTGGTTGTGGCGCTCGGTAGTGCTGTGCGGATGGGGTGCGAGGTCTGCCACCTTTGTCTGACGGAGCTCCGAGTCATAGGCCTGCGTCGACAGCTGTGACTGGTTCGAGGTCATGAAAGTCATGATAGAGTAGCTGGTGGTGCCGGTGAGACTTCGATGCGCAAGCGCAACGTCTGGAAGTCGATATTGCGTCGTGTCGAATCGTGAGGCGATCGTGCTATCAACGATCGAGGTCGTAGCGTGAAGGGGCGTATGATAAGGACACCGGTTTGAGTTAGAAAAAGAAGTGCTAAGGCCCTCGCAAGAGTCATTGTGCGCTTTATATACCCAGCCGGAACTAAAACCGCGGTTCATTTTGTCCCGTGCTGTGCTCCGACCGTCTCAGGTCCGGGCGAGGGACGACGTCATACCAAGTGCGGGCTCTCCATTCTAGGGCATGGGACGGGGAAATGTATAGGAGGGCTCGCCGGGCGTCGGGTGGCACATGAGCTTGATCGGTCTGGAATGTGGTCGGTGTGCGACGGTGCGCAGTTGGATTTGCGGTTGTGTACTCGAGTTGACAAGGCTTCAATAGGCGCTACTCCGCGTCGCGGGCGCTTATCTGTAAGACGATCTGCTTAGTTGCCTTGTCTGATAAGATAAAAGTAATGCAGCCTGGCTGATCAAATCAAGGCACTTTGGAGCTCCTACAGGCACCTACTGGGGATTCTATGCAGTGAGGTACTATTTGAGGTGTACTTCGACGACGGGAGGTGGTTGCCACAGAGACCATCCGACGCCGAAAGGAAAGGATGTGGCAAGCGTCTATATCGGGGGATCAGGGAGAAAAAGATAGATGGCCGACAGAACATAACCGTTGCGGGACCCTCTTATCGACGTCTAAAATTTATCAAAAACATATTCAAGGGGCAACATCAGCTCCTGCGGTGAAAAGTGGGCAGAAAGCCTTCAGAAAAGTATAGGCAGCGGCCAGGGCGGGCTAGAAACCGTCCTGTTCGTTCCGATTTTTCTTATCGTTGATGTTGGAGATGGGACATCAAATTCAAAGATAGTCGATGCTCAGCTCGTTTGCAAGAAAAAAGGCATGTACATAGCTCGTGTACATCCACGCCTATCCACGCACGGTGGCCATCCACCAAA